AATTAGCCCAAAAACCCTAGCTTATATACAGGAGCGAGTGGTCCGGATTGAAACCAATCCGACGGCTACTAAAATCCCACTACGCTAATATTAGTATACGGCATCGTAGCCGTACACTTGGCCCCCGAAACCACCCAACTTCAGAGGCATGTGGGACTATCAAGTTTTGGCATGATCGGTGAGAAAGGATTGCGCACACGCAACTTTCGTACAATTATCTACGTCTGCCGCTATGAAATAGTTTTCCCCAAAACCTGATTGTCCCGCATGCCTCTGAAGTTGGGTGGTTTCGGGGGCTTGAACTTTGAAACTCGTGCAACCGGGGGCGGCTGCAGAACTTCATCGTCCTCAGAACTCGAAGAGGAGTCTGGTTGCTTAGGCTTAGCTGGTTTAGCTGCCTCAACCTCTTTCTTCCTCTTCTTGTTCTCCTTCTTCAATTTGCGAATCTCCTTTCACAAATTCTCGATCTCGACTTCTTGAGCCGTACACTGCAGCGCCGCAGCATCTGGCTCTTCCTCTTCTGACTCAGCCTCTGCCTCTTCCGTAGCACCTCTAGTAGGAGTTTCCTCCTCTCGATTCGCCCATCTAGAGGTTTCAACGTCATCAGCACGGTTCCATTTCACCATCCCGCTAGCTGCATGCATGCCTCTATCAGTAACTGAACATGCATACAACATTCTTACCGAATGATGCAATCCAACTAATCCTACACAGGTCGCTTCGGATCTACTAGAAAAGTCTCTACGTATGCAACTTGAGTCAGAAAATCAGACAAAAGTTGGATAGGAGTTGCTGAGACAATCCCTCTGATACCAAATGTAGCGCACCTGAATTTGGAGCCGAACTCCAAGCCCGTTGCGCTACGAAACGAGGGTCCGGTACAATCCCAAGAGCACCAACTCCCCGTATCCAGCACCTGCACGCAAAATGGTGTCAAACGGAGTCTGGCACAATTTTGGCATACCGGTGGCCTAACACGAGAAGGAGGGTACTCCACCGACTAGAGCAGCGTGGAGCTTGGGCTTAAACTCAAGCCGGACGCAGAACAAGGAGCGACACAGCCCAGCGGAAGCCAAACTAATGTCTCAGGTGGTTGGACATGCATTCCAACCACTATCCCTACTATACATTTGGAACCCCCCACAGCCCTCCCCCCCTGAAGGACACATGCTTTGGGCTTTCACCCCAAGCCTCCCTTAGTACCAGGAGTTAGTCTCTGGGACAAGTCCGAAACTTACTAAATATGGAATGTCCTTAAATTGTGAATTTGGACATGGGACGAACACCATTGTGTTTAGGCCGATCTCTACATTCCGTAGATATGCCAAATGAGCTAATCTAGACACTTTCCATAAATAACATTTGGGACCGAAATGAGACCAACACAAAGGGCGTGATAGCAAGGGTGTTTGGCAGACACGGTAAGCTATCATCCGGCGATATTGAGGGACTAGTCTTAATATGCGAGGGTTCTTGCCAAACCAGTGCAAGACAGAGCAAAAGAGAACTAACAAGCCAGGCCAAATATGCTTGGCTAAATAGACACTTAGGAATTCCTTCCTTATGCTCATCTGGCCAAGTACAGATGCTAAATCCAGTTTACTAACACTTGGACAAGAGGGGCCAATAAAGGGAACCAACGGTACCGACCTCCTGCCGTCATGGCAGTAAGGAAAGAGTGCCCGTAAGGACTAGTCGACAAGTATCTTTCGATACCCGAAGTCACATTCGCGACACAGCAGCATCAACCTCCATGGGAACAGGACCATCACTCATAGGAAATGGAGCTGAAGGACGTGTAGCAAGAAGTGGAAGAGGCGACGTCTCATAACGTTGTGTCAAGCGAAGAGCATCATCAAGAGTGGCAGGAGCAAGTGCATTGTAAGGAACCAACTCGCCGAGGTGTCGTAGGCTAAAGGAACCCCAAAAGCATGACAAAATGACAAAGAGTTCATTAGATAGGACCAAGTCGAAGATCGAGTCCAAGACCGACTCGGAGACCGAGTTCGAGATAGAGTCCGGAATCGAGTCTGAGGCTGACTCGAGGACCGAGTTCGAGACCGAGTTTGAGACGGAGTCCGAGATCCGAAATCGGGTCCGAGACCGAGTCCGAGGTCGAGTCCGAGGTCGGGTCTGAGGTCGGGTCCGAGATCGAGTCCGAGATCGAGTCCGAGACCGAATCCAAAGTCGGATCCGAAATCAAGTCCGAGATTGAGCCAGAGACTAAGTTCAAATACTAATACGGGTCAAGGGGTGAAAGCCCAAAGCGTGCGTCTCCCAGGGGGAGGGGGCTGCAGGGGGTTCCAAAAGTATAGTAGGGAGAGTGAGGTCCAGGAACCAGTTTTGAAGGGACTCTCCAGTGGGGCTCCCAAACCGACTTGAGGTTGAGACTGGGACCGAGGGGCCTTAGGTGGGAGTGAGCATGGACTTGGCTGGTGCCGGAGGGGCCATCCAAGGAAGTGCTCAAGAGCAGCTCCCACTCCCGAAAGGGAAACCGATTGCGGTGCTCCCGGCTCATGTGGAGTGGTGCCCCACTTGAGTACCATGCGGCTCATTGGTCCTCGCCCTTCCTAGGGGCTTGGGCCTTCCTTCGGGATGGAAGTGGGGGGGTAGAGGTACCCATACCAGGCCGCTAGGACACGGTGTTTCGCCCCGGCGTCCCGAAGCAAGTGTTGCACTCAAGACTTGGGATTTAGAGGGTCCCATGATTAAGTCTTGTGGTACCAAAGGATGTTAGGAACCTGGAAGCTTGGTGTGCTTGGCTGCTTGTGCTTGCGGGGAGTGTAGCCGAACCTTAAGTCCAGTCTAACTCGGGGAGGGGGATTGGGAGAGATTGGGAATCCGTGGATGGATGGCTAACGCTCCATTGCTTGTGCAGTGAGTAGCTGAAACCAAGTAGGACCAAGTAGGAGTTGGTACCATAGGCGAGAACCTTGGCAAGGGAACTTAGCAAAAGCCAAGGCAGTGTCGAACGGATATACGAGGTAAGCTGGCAAATGGGAAAGGAAAAATTTGTGGCTTACATGCATGCACAAGTCCGACAAGATCTTGACGAAGTGCTGGCCACAACATTCCTAGCTTGATCCGCTCCGACATATTGGGCTCCGCACGAAGCAAAAGACTTCGGAAACGAACGCCAAATTGCATCACTGACTCAGATGGCCCTTGGCGAAGACGATGCAATTGTTTGAAGGCATCATAACAATCGTCGGCATGTCCGAAGGCGCATTTGAAGACATCCGAAAGAACACTCCAATCGCCACGAGTGGCTATGCTCAATCCATTGTACCACTACAATGCCATCCCTTGGAGACATGTGGGGAACTCATGTAAACGTCAAGTATCATCCCAAGAATGATATGTGGCAATCACCGTGAAGTGATCAAACCAATGGTACACATCATCCCCAAGATTCCCACGAAAGAACTCTGGCCGAACGCGAGGATTGGCACCAAGAGTAAGAGGAGTTGTACCATGTGCCATGAACGCCGCCATCAACTGAGTTTGGTTGTTTAATTGCAAGTGCATAGCATCAAGCAATTGTACCAACTGCTACTCTAGAGTCAAAGGAGGAGATTGCTGATCTGCTATGAAGATGAACGAAAAAGAAAGAGCAAAAGAAGAGAAATGACAAAAAGCTAGAAGGAAATGGTAAATCTAAACAACGCAAAAAGCTAGATCTAAACCAAAACCCTGAAAAGAAAGAACAAAAGAAAGGAAATGAAAAAAGCTAAATCTAGACAATGCAAAAGCTAAATCTAAATCAAAATCCCAAATCCAAGCATTCCTTAGGAACAATCAAAGGTGCTCTTCATCTCCACCAATGTGAGTGTCTGGAATATGGAAAGGGAAAATAGAAATGTGCATATCAATTAACCCAAAAACCCTAGCTTATATATAAGAGCAAGTGGTCCAGATTGAAACCAATCCGACAGCTACCAAAATCCCACTACGTTAATATTAGTATACGGCATCGTAGTTGTACACTTGGCCCTCACACCTTTCCTTTACAAATTTTTATAAACAGTTCATTTAATGTTTCTCTAAAATCACTATTCTTTTAACACAACTCACTATATAAATTATTTTTTTTTAGACTTTTTTTGATTTTCTAGAGTCTCCACCACTATTATTAATGAGTAGGACTTTGAGGTTAATTTAAAGTACTAATATCAGAAACTATCAAATATTCAAGAAGGTGAAAAATTAATAAACAAATTTATAAAATTAAATTTACAAAGTCTAGAGCAAGAAGAAAGGGTTAGAGAATTTTATGTTATAACATTTTAGTTTATTAACACATATCACAAGTATGTATAAAGTTTTCAATATACTTACATATATAAAATCATCAAAACTATTATTTAATTAATTCTAATGTTTTGGAGACACTAAAATGCCTTATTGTGAAAGTGTTATAACATATGTGGACAACATGCAATTACATTTCATTGTCATATAATTAAACATATTTTATTATTTGATAGATTGGGTTGAGTATTCCTTTAGTGATTATATTTTGAAACTTTTATTTCATCATGCTCATGTTTTTGAGTTAGTTGTAAATTTCCAATAGCAATATCCACTTAACACCACATTAATTATTTATGTATTTGCTATCTCTCTATATTTTTTACCAGTTTAAGGTGTTATTTATGTATTTGTCATGGCTACTACTACCTAATTTGGATTAATTAAGGATTGGCTTAAATTAGTTTTGAGAGCAAGAGTGTTTAACACAAATTCATATTTTCTTCTCCATTGTTTTAATATTTCATTATTAGTTTTGTCATCTCCCAACAAGCTCCTAAAAACCTAATAAAAATAAAAATTATATATTATTTTAATTCCAATTTCAATATTTTAAAATAATTCCTATTTGTTTTTTAATATTTTAATCAATTGAAATATTTTAAGGATATATAATTAAAATATCCTTGAATGGGAGAAATTAGGAACACCCTAGACTTAGGGATGTGCTTTTGAGTTTACCAGGAACATAATCAAAGTTAGATAAAATAAATATTTATGATAAAGTGTAAGTATGTTTATAAGATATAATTATTTTAATCTAATAGTTTTACTTTGAAAAACAAGCAAGTATATTGCTACTTTTCAAAGGGGCAATTCCTCCTTTCCCCTCTTCTTCTTCCCCTTGGGCTTCTTCCCATCAAACTTCCTGTAGATCCAGTGCTGCCCATCCGGCTCCACCCGCAGCCCCTTGAGACGCCCAAAGAGATCCACCGCCCTGCGCACGCCGTGGTAGTCAGCTCCATTAAAGTAATCGTGCCCAAACATGATGGATTTGCCGTCGGGCCGCATGAGCGACCACGCGAGATTGATGTCCGTCCACGCCGAGTGGAAATCGTGCCCGGCATCCACCTCAATCAGATCCGCCGAGATGCCCAGCTCGCACAGCTTGTAGAGCCCCGTGTTGGTGGAGAATGGCACCGGCACAATGTTGTCGCTGGCGTTGGAGAAGGCCACATTTTGCAAGAATTGGTTGAAGAGCATGACATTGCCGTGCTCCTGCCGGATGTCCGTGAAGACCTTGCGAAACCCTGGCCAGCCCCGGAAATCATCCAGGCAGAAGATCACGAAATCACTGCCGCCTTGCTGCTGCTCGCGGATGAGCTTGGCGAGGTGGATCGCCGACGCGCCCAGGAAGGATCCGAGCTCCACCACGATTTTGGGGCGGATTTCCTGGACGAGGCGCGCAAACACGGGGTGATCTGAGCCCCAGCCTTTGATCTTGTGGGGCTTGAGGAGGCGGGCAATGTGGGGGGGCGGGAAGGCCGTGAAGGGCGACGTGCCGTCAAACACCTCGTCAATGACGGCCGCTCGAGCGGAGGCGGCGTCTCGGCCCCGCGACGGCGCCGCTTGGCAGTCGTAGTGGAAGCGGAGGAGGTCGTCCGGCAGCGATCTGACGTGGCTCACGAATCCATCGTCGGATTGGGGCTGGATATTCGCCACGTTGTCGCCCAGATTCGCTTCCTTCTTCTCTTGGATCGACGGCGATGAAGACGAGCACGCGGTCAATGCAGCGGAGGAGGAAGAAGACGAAGAGGGCGACGAGGAAGGGAATGATGAAGATTGGAGAGGAGGAGGCGAGCTAGGAGAAGTTCTCACAATTGGAGACGCTAGAAATCCGAGCGTGAAGGCCACGATCAGCGCGAAGAGCATCACCACCAAATTGCTGCAGTAGCTGCTGGGAGCGCTCGCAAACTGGTGCTTCCTCATTGCCGTTCTTCCTCGTCGCGCTAGAAAATGAAAGAACGAGGAGGTGAAAAAGAAAAGAGATCGATCCTACGAACTGAGAGCCCCACTCTTAGCTTCCTAGCCAGTGATACTACGCTATCGTCCAGGGCGGGTGTGGCGTTCGAGTCCTGGGATCCACCATTACCCCACGCTTTCCCTGCAAAAGAGAGACACCACCACCACTGCCACCATATCTTAACCAAAATTCCATCTCACAAATGTACCGTAATGGAGGATCTTCCAAAGAAAAGAAAGAAAGCGATGCTTCGTTTACTTTCTCTTCCCCGTTGGACGATGCGTCGGTTTCTTCGAACCACTGCACGGACTCACTTGAATGGAATCTGTTAGCAAAAAAATCTCTGGAGAGTTCTTCCAGTCGGTTTTTAGATCTCGATCGATCACAGCAGGGACCTGACACTTACCTCTCGATTTTTCTTCGTTTCTCGCTCGCGAGCTTCTCGTGAAAAGATGAAGCCCGAGTTTTCGGTACCTGTCTTGGTTTGCGAGAAACGTGTGCTGTGGAAAACGTATTTCAATGAATCATGAGTACAATGAAAGGAAACTAGCTAGTACCCTGGCCAGCGAAACCGAAAGAGAGAGAATACCAGCAGCCGGTTACTAGCTATTTTCGCGACATCTCCTGCATTGCTGGAGGCGTGCGCGATACGGCGGGCTTTAATCCATCGCGAACATCAAGCTCCACTTTATGCTGTGTCTGCAATATAAAACACAAAAGATTAGCTCAGTGATGATGTTGGAAGGAATTTTTCTTTGGAGTGACTCACCTGCATGCACGCGCACACACTGCGAGAAAAAACAAAGTAACAAAAGTTGAGGAGCACGACAACGTCAGTCCTCGATGACAGAGCGACAAGTGTGACAAATCTTTACCTGCAGTAGGCAATATCCGCAACTCTGTCGACAACGAGAGCTGCGTCGTCAATGAATGGCACATTAGTAAAAGTTGCAACCAGCCAGCAGATACAGTTGAGGTACTGGAGAAACCACATCGTCGCCTGGAAGTAGAGATTTGATGGTGTCAAGTGTTGAGATCTTTTGACACTGGAAAACTTACAATGATGCAGTTGTCACACTTGGTGTTTTGGATCCCCAAGGAGTCCTGTATCATAAACCTTGTTGCAGTGACAGACATTGGAAAGCAAAGCACGGCCTGGGAAAAAAAGGACAAAAACATTGGAAAGTTTTTAAGATCATGAAACTTCTAAAAGACTTACTTCAGTGGCAGCACAGAAGCGAGGACATTTGGGCTCTCCACAACGGCCGCTGCATGGCAGGCCTCCGCCGCAACATTGATAGCTACAGAACCATTCCGTCAGAGTTTTCTCCCAGCGGAAGAGGGGAAGAAGAAGAAGAAGGGGAAAAAACACTAACCGTGACCAGTCATTGTGCAAAGATCTTCCACGCAGCTGGTACGCGGCACAAAAGGGGCTGCAAAACGAATCACACACAGTCAAACAAAGAGGAAGCGAAATATTTTCGCGACATGGATCCTTACCAGAAGATGCTGTAGAAACAAACTGCGCGAGGTGATCAAACGAGTCAGTCCACTGGATCTCAAGAGTAAATCCCTAGCCTAGTCGAGAAGGCTGAATTCTCGAAGATCTAGCAATGCCACACACACAACGAGCTGATTCTAGGAGCTTACACAGCGGATCTCTGGCTGGAGTGCTCATCAGCGGCGCCTGCCATACATTCGGCAGCTGCTTCCTCGCATTCAGCGCATCCATGTTCTTGGAAGACGCCATTCCCCGCCCTCGCTATTCCCCACCCTCGCTAATCACGAAGACACCGCCTAGGGTATAGAAGTTTAAACCAAAAAGAATTCGTTAACACAGGCCCTTTAAACAACGTGTTCTTCGTCATCGGTGGCTAAAAGGCCCATTTCGGTCTCTGGCGACGAGGAAGTACGTAACAGCATCCGGTTGTGCTCGTTCTCCACCCGGAAAAAAATCCACTGGAACCGCCGCAGCATCTCCAGCCCCGAGAATGTGAACACCGTCAAGTAGTTGTGGCGAAGATGCGCCGAGAGCTTGTAAGTCCAAGCACAGCGAAGGAGTAAGTTGCTTCCAATCGCCCAGTAGTACACCTGGTGGGAAGTCACCGGTTGTGTTTAGAGACACTCGGGTTAATGCTTCATTCACTCACCCATCGAGGATTGTAGACGAGGTGAGCCCTGAGTCCCAAGTTTTTGGTCCTGGAGATACCGGAGAAGAGGCTGCGACGAAAACAGTGAGAGAGAGGACGGAGAGAATTGGCAAGTTACCTGAAGTCCCAGTCTCGGCTGATATCCCAGTAGAACGAGTAGAAAGAATTAACCACGCTAGAAAGTAACCAGAGTGGGCGATAGACACCTTCCCAGTACTCGGGAAGTACGTGATACTTGAGCGCGGACAGGAAAACCACGGGGAAGGCTGTCGAATACTTCAAAGCTGCGAGGGAATTACACGAGATCAATCACAAGAAAAGAGGTCAGGACATACCGTTGAAAAGACAAGATCGCTCTTTCGTGTCCGTATACTGCCTCAGACACTGCGCGAATCGGAACAAGTAAGGAAGCGCGAGAATGCAAGGTATCCATATGGAGTGACTCCCGCATAACTCCTCTGCCTCAAAAGCAGCCTGATAAAAGAGCGTTACACAAGAAACAGGAGAAAGCAACACGGCATACCTGACGATGATACATCCTGCACAGCGACCGCTCAATGTCCGATAGCACCTGCAAAAGAAACATCTCAAATCCATTTCTTTGTTACTCTACTCGCGGCGGGCGAACCTTGGACATAGAGGTAAGCACGTCTGCTACAAAAAAATCTGCAAAGGTGATAGGCTGGCGTAACAAAACCATTAGTTCAGGCACAGCGAGTTAGATTTTCAACGAACCTGCAGCGGTAGCGAAAGTCTCAATAACGTACCAAGAAAGAAGAATCGCGATGAACGATAAAGGACATCAAAAGGTAGAATTAACACGAGCGGCAGGCCGATGTAAAGAATGGCCTGTGAGAAACGAAGCTGTTAGAGGGAAAAAGGAAGCAATAGCAAACAATGAATAGAATCATTTCAGCAAAGCACACCATCATCAACAAGCAGCAAGAGTGGGGAAAAGTGTGGATTATACACTGGCTGCGATGCAGCGTAGTTCGCTTCCCCGTTGGAATAAAGATACAGATAAGTTGTCATGCTGGTCGAGATGACAATGGTCATCCAAGAGGCAACCTGCATTGACGAGAATTAAGAGGAGGAAAAATAAGAAAGAACACTACTTACTACCTTCCATATATGTTTGTGCGTTAAATGGTTCTGATCAAGATCAAAGATCTTGCTATAATTCACACGATAATGTAGAAATGCCCAGAGATTTACTCCCCACAACCACACCATCATAGCCTGCAAAGACAAGAAAAAAGCTTGCTTGCATCTCGAATGAGCAATAGAAAAATAGTTGAGACATACCACCATAACTAATGGATTGTAGTACAAAAATGCTTCGTAGAAGAAACTACCCCTCAGTGTTGTATCCATTTTCTCGATGGAATCTTTGGCGATCTAGATAGCACCGAGCTAGAAAAACACAGATGGAACCAAATGCGAAAGAATACCTTTACACACACGATCGCCCATGCGATGAGAAAATAGATTGGCGAGCGAGGAAGCCAACCTCGGAGATAACCAGAAGAAGAAGTTGCCGGCTTCAATTTTAGGGGCTCCACAGTCGCTGGCGGAGAATCTTCAAGCAAATTCATGGCTTCTGGAGCTCCTCCTCTATCTGGGAAGCAGAAAAATTTAAGAGCTGTCGCTCTCGAGTATTGAATAACATACCGGGATCAAGCAAATTCGATCTGCTGCGCGAGTGGAGAGGGCTGCTCATCGGCATCAGCTACGCTCATCAAGGGTTCTCGCCACCGGCGGCAGCTCCCGCATTCTACCCGGCGCCGCCCGATCGCGATGCCCAATTCAAGAATCAGCGCATCTTGGATCAACCCTAGCCCTCACGGCCTCACTGGGATCGGACGAACAAATACAAGCCACGAGGCTTAGTATCAACCGTCGGATTCAAACGTCAACTACGTGTACGTGGACATTTTGATGAATTTTTAATTAAGAAAGTTGCGCGTTTTAATCGCCTACAATGATCACAGTTCGTCACATCGCCGCTAAGCTGCTAAATAACCAGGTTTTAGAAGCAAAGGTTTTAGTTTCAAGACCTTTGGTGATATTTCTTGCCTCATGGAACAAATCTAAAATCTCTTCGCAAATCGCTAGCAACTTACCTCCCTTTACCCATGATAAAATCCCTCGCTTAAAAACCCCCTGTCTTAGTTGGAGTTACCGTTCCCGACTCACAATTCTTGTGGAGGACGGCGAGTCCGAGAATTTACAGCGAGCTTTGCTTCACAAAGAAAGCAAACAAAATTAGTGATATATAGAATATGTAGGCTGGATTGGTTTTTCGATCGATCTCTTTCGTCATCGTCGTCCCCGTTTGTCGGGAAAAAACTGCTGCTTTTCCTCCTTGTTAGTGTTTTTGGATCCGGAATTCGTTTCGCAATCTTCTGTCACGGGATCTTCCGCGAGGATTTCTTCGAGCATTGGCTCGTCCAGTCCTGTATCTTCTGCTTCTTTCTCTGGTCTAGGCTCGCCACTAAAACAAAAGGAACAGGAGTTAGCGAAAAAAGGAGGTACCACGAAACTTACAAGCATGAATACAAAGACAGTCCTATGGCCACTGTTCCAAACGCCACAAAGTAGAGCCAATCCACCTGAAAAGAAAACGATGGAAATCACGATAAAATACAAGCTTTGGTAAATACTTACGTCTTCATGGTACGCCAATGCACGTATCGCGACGGCCCACATATCGGACGTGAGAAGAGACAAGGTAAACATTGCCGAGCCACTGCCCTGTGTCCAAAGTGTGTATAAAAGCTTTAGAGGATGCATAGATGTATACCTGAAGTAGAATTGGAGCGAGAATGTAGAAAGAAAACTGTGCCAGTGCAAATCCCACAAAGGGTCCAATCTGCAGAAATGAAAATCTTAGCGAAAACACGCGAGAGTGTGTTCCTACGGCATTTGCAGTCCATTGAATGTGACGAAGTTCATGCAGTTCAAGAGCAAGTCTGGAACAAAAGTCATTGAAAAACGCTGTTCGAATCTATAATCCAAAGGCTACTTACACTTGAATGCCGTTTATAAGCGATCCAAACAAGCCGAGGAAGGCAAGCAGCTCAACCGGACTTGTTTTCTTCACTATAAATTCCTGAGAAAAATCGAAAAAGGGATTCAGACGTGAAAGAAAAAAGTTGGCAGCCCGCATACCTGGGTGACATTGCCAATTGCGTACAGCATCGATGCTCCGATGACGATAATGTCTCCAAGGACGACATTACTACCACCTGAGAAGATAAAACCAAAACCGAAGTTAGCGATGCTTGGTTGCTGTAAGTACGGAGGCACGTCAACTCAACGAGTGAAACACACACTCGTCTCTTCTCTTTTGAGGTGGACAGACCGGATCGATCTTTGGCATGAACATCGGAGAGAACCACCAGCACGAGCCCCGTCACGCAGATCCCGACTCCAAAAAAATGCCCGAGGCGGTACCGTGTCTTGAGAAACAACCACGTCAAAAGGAGGACGCAGGGAGTGCTCCAGCAGTCAAGCAGCATCACGCTTGTGATCGAAGTGTATTGGTTGGCCTTGACAACTGAAGAAAGAAAGCGGCCAGAGTCGATGTGACCAAAGAAAAAATGAAGAATCGCAAGGTGAAACTTACGGAGATAATTTCCTTCCACATCCACAATGGCGAGTAGCAGGAAACCATACCAAGGTACCTGTTGACAATCACTACATCGATGTAACAAGCTAGACAAAAAGAAGCTGAAACTACACACACACACACACACACACAAAGAGAAGAAAGTATAATCAACTCATGAACAAGAACAAGCACGAATAGAGGGAAGATTAAAATGATTTTCAGGCGCTGACCTTGATCTTTGGCCTCTTGATAAGAACAATCGATCCGCAAACGATGGCCAGCAGCGCGTAATTGAAAAATGCCTGGGCAGTGGGCGCATTTACCCCTTTTGACAAGAGAATCAAGCTAGAGGTTCATATAACAGTACCAGGTCCTACCTTCGCGAGCCAGGAACGAGGATGTGAATCCCGTGGCAGTGAGGAGCAGCGACAGGACCTGTCCCAGGCCCAGGGCTGCGAGCGCCCTCCATTTTGGAGACGAAACCAGCCATTCCAGGATCACTCGCTGCTGCAGATGATCATTGTCGTGCTGCTGCTGCTGCTGCTCCCGGTCGCCCATTGATTCGAGAAGCCAGCGGTCACCCATAACTTATCACTGCACCGTAGCGCATGAAATCGCCTGCCTCGTTGACAAGGACTTCTTATAATATTCTAGTACTTGCCTTTGGAACAATCACTATACTCAGATCCGGGATTTTTCTTCACAGTATTGTGATTTCCTTCTTGGAGAGGCTGGAAGTTTCCCGGATGTGTGTTCATCCCGGGTGATACTTGACTCGCATGTCACCTGAAGGAAACTTACCTTGCAAGGTCACCTGCAAGCAAGTTAATGTTCACTTTTCCCTTCTCTAATTCATATTATCATTGTCTTGTTTGTTGCAAAGCATTGATGTTTCAACCACCTAAGTTGAATATATTGCCTTGGTCTGTTAGAAAATTATATAATTGTGATGTTTAATGTTTCAACCACCAAAGTTTTGAATATATTACTTGCTAGCATCATCAAAGGATTTCCATCTCAAAATTATTTAAAATGATGAATTATTCAGATTAGAAAAGGTGACAAAGTTGAGGGAATGAAATATTTTTGTAATTTAGGAAGAAAATAAGAAAGCTTCTAAAGAGGATTAGAAAGGGGAGTCTTGAGATAATATTATTTCCTGGTGGGAATTAATGTAGGGAAAATAGCATGAGGGCTTGTGCTTGAGGGAGATTACCAGGGATGAGAGACTATAAAGGAGAAGGGGAGAAAGAAAACATATGCATGGCAAAGGAGTTGAGAGCGATATAAAAAGCCTGAATTTTGTCCTAAGCTCTTAATCTTTTCTTTTAAAATAATTTGGTCAATTGCAGTCAACTGTGGGCCTTGCTAGGGGAAGAGTACGTTGGGCTCCCATAAAAAATTGCTCATGTATGCTTAGAAGAAGTTAAATTATATTGCTGAGATGTTTGCCATAATAAATTTATGTAATGATAATGATCAATTATTAATTAATTATATTGCTGCGATCATGGTTGAAAAAACAGATCGCATCTTCTTTACAGAAACTGCTACGAGAAAATAGACTGAAGGGACAAAGACAAACTCGGAGAGAACCAGAAGAATTTCAAGCAGGCTTCGACAGTAGCTGCGAATTCACCTCTATCTATATGAATTTCGCTCTCCAGCATTGAATACGATACCGGAATCTGCTCGAGTGGAGAGGGCTGCTCATCGGCATCAGTTGCGCTGATAGATCTTTGCCCGTCAAGGATTCTCGCCACCGCCAAAGCCGCGTGTACGTAGACATTAGAAATTTTTAATTTTTTTTTAAAAAAAGAAAAGAAACTGGCGCGTTTTAATCGCCTACAATGATCACAGTGGGATCACAGCAGCATTCATCAAGCAAGCAGCAGCAACACATTGCTGCTAAGCTGCGAATCACAAATAACAAAGTTTTAGAACCAAAGATTTTACATCGAACCAAGAACAACTTACATTCCTTTAATGAACCCGTGATCTTTCTTGCCTGTCATGAATCACGAGAGATCAAATCAAATATAAAATCTCTGTTAGCAGCTTACCTCCCTTACCCATGAGTAAACGCTCCTCTTCGAGATGAACCTTGGAAGATCTCTCCCTGGCTTAAAACCCCCTGCATTAGTTGGAGTTATCGTTCGCGACTCACAATCCTAAAGTGGACGACGGCGAGTCCGAGAAACAGTGCTTTCTTCACGAAGAAAGCAAACAATTAGTGATAGAAGTATACATATAGTTTTTCCAGCATCAAAGCTCAATCTGTGCATCGTCGTTGTTATCCCGTTTGTCGGGAAAAAACTGCTGCTTTTCTTCCTTGTTAGTGTTTTTAGAATGTGTACCGCTATCTTCTTTCACAGGATGTTCCGCGACGATTTCTTCGAGTCCTGGCTCGTCCAGTTCTGCAGCTGCTTGTTGTTTCTTTGGTCTCGGCTCACCACTATAACAAAAGGAGGTGGAGTTAGCGAGAAAAAAAAAAGAGGTACCACGCAACTTACAAGTAAGAATACAAAGACAGTCCTATTGCCACTGTTCCAAACGCCACAAAGTAGAGCCAATCCACCTGAAAAGAAAACGATAGAAATCACGATAAACTACAAGCTTTGGTAAATACTTACGACTTCATGGTAGGCCAATGCACGGATCGCGACGGCCCACATATCGGACGTGAGAAGAGACAAGTTAAACATTGCCGAGCCACTGCCCTGTGTCCAAAGTGTGTAACAAAGGATGCACACATGTATCTGCGCTTTACCTGAAGTAGAATTGGAACGAGAAGGTAAAAAGAAAACTGGGCCAGTGCAAATCCCACAAAAGGACCAATCTGCAAAAATGGAAAGTTAGCGAGAAACACGGGAATATTAAAGAGGCAAGAGGTTTTGAGTTCCTACGGCATTTGCAGTCCATTGAGTGTGACGAATTTCATGCAGTTCAAGAGCGAGCCTGAAACAAAAGTCTTTTAGAAAACACTGTTCGATCCTATTATCCAACGGCTACTTACACTTGAACCCCGCTTATTATCGATCCAAACAAGCCGAGGAAAGCAAGCAGCTCAACCGGATTAATTCTCTTCACTATAAATTCCTGAGGAAAATCATAAAAGGGATTCAGATGAGAGTTCATGTGAAAGAGAAATTTTAGCAGCACCATACCTCGCTAACATTGGAAATTGCGTACAGCATCGATGCTCCGATGACGAGAAAGTCTCCAAGGACGACATTACTACCACCTGAGAAGATAAAACCAAAGTTAGCGAGGCTTGGCTGCTGCAAGTATGCAAGCACGTCAACTCAACGAGCACAAAACACACTCGTTTCTTTTTTTTTGAAGCGGACAAACCGGATCGATCTTTGGCGTGAACATCGGAGAGAACCACCAGCACGAGCCCCGTCACGCAAATCCCGACTCCAACAAAATGCCCGATGCGGTACCGGGTCTTGAGGAAAAACCATGTCAAAAGGAGCACGCAGGGAATGCTCCAGCAATCAAGGAGCATGACGCTTGTGATCGAGGTGTATTGGTAGGCCTTGACAACTGAGAAGAAAATGATCAGGTCGCAAAACTATGTCACCAATAAAAAGAACAAAGAAAGAGAAGGTCACGGTGAAACTTACCGAGAAAATTTGCTTCCACATCCACAACGGCGAGTAGCAGGAAAGCATACCAAGGTACCTGTGAACAATCACCACATCGATGTAAGAAGCTAGACAAAAAGAAGCTGAAACTACACGCACATACAACACACACACAAAGAAATAAAGCTCTTTTACTACTATCAAACTCAGGACCAACCAAAACAAACCAGATTAGGGGGGAATTCTAAAAGATTCTCAGAAAACAGGTGAGCGCTGACCTTGATCTTTGGCCGCTTGATAAGAACAATCGATCCGCAAACGATGGCCAGCAGCACGTAATTGCAAAATGCCTGGGCAGTGGGCGCATGCACCCCTTGACAGGAGAATTAAGAGCTAGAAATTCGCAAAACCCTACCTTCGCGAGCCAGGAACGAGGATGTGAATCCCGTGGCAGTGACGAGCAGTGACACGACCTGTCCCAGGCCCAGGGCTGCGAGCGCCCTCCATTTTGGGGACGAAACCAGCCATTTGAGGATCACTCGCTGCTGCTGGTTCTGCTCTTGCGGATGATGCTGCTGCTCGCTGTCGCCCATGGATTCGAGAAGCCAGCGGTCCCCCATAGCTCATCACAGCGCCATGCTTTTTATAGCGCAAGAAATTTCTCGCTTCAAGGAGAGTCGCTCCTTTAGCTACGGGGCATATTCTGTGGCGTGTTCTTATAATAATGTTGCTTTTGACGTCGAGCTTGTATCTCCTCGTAAAATAAAATCTGTCAACTTTGTGAGAAATTTGAGTCTAACTTTAAAATTCCTAATTACTCCACTTTTATTAAATGAAAATCAGAAAGTGCAAAGTGGTTAAAATATTCCTCAAATTAAAATTAAGTTACACAAAATATTTTAAAGTTATACCATCCTTATTGTATTATCTAAAAAGTAAAAGTAAAATTATATTTTATATTAATAACTCTCAAATATTATCTAGGTTTTATAAACTCAAATCAATCTTATAAGGAACAATCCATAATCACTCCAAATTCCACAAAATCCACTTTTAATTTTACATAACATTGCTAATTAACTTAAAAACTGGCTCAAATATACTTTCTATTGTCCATGAGTTATGACTAATTTCATAGCATCATCCATAATAAGAAGCCCACTTCTTTCATGTAATATCTCTATTGTGCACCACTAAGGCTAGGACACATCCCATCAGATGCACTTCTTCTTCAACAGATTTAAAAGTCAACAAGTTTTTGGTGGTAGCATATAATTTATATCCAAACCCTCACAATCCATCAAACATATAATTAATATATAAGCCATAATATACCTCAAGTAAGTAACATGGGTCATAGTGATGCACATACTCATGATAGTATAAACCAGTACTAACATGTGATAAAAAAATATCTTCTACTAACCAAAAATTCTTTAGATGAATGAACATTTCATTAGTATGTATTTTAAAGACTTGTTCAAGAAGTTTCTTTGATTACTTTATATGGTTGATTGATGTTGGCAAGCTCATGGAAGATATTGGTGACCATTATCTATTATGCTGTGTGAAAAGAAAGTGAAAGCACTTGAATTTCATCAATTGCAAATGAAAAACACTATAAAAAGCACATTGAGGGTGAAAGATTTGAATATCTAACACCCAATATCATTGAATCCTTGAATGCATGGCTTTTCAATGTAAGAGAATTGCCAAAACTGAAGGTTATTGGGATAAAGTTGATAAGTTATGTTTTGTATGTGGGATGATCCTAATATAAACTATGGAAAACTAGGTTAATGAAGCATGATTTAAACCTACAACTGACACTCATTTAAACAAAAATTTAACTTGTTACAAGTGCCTAAGTGACAATGATGCTTGTCGAAGGTAGTAGATTCTTCTCAAGAATCTCTTGGAACAAGATCTATACCTCCTGCAGATGCCTAATAAGAGGGAATATGGTGATCATGATGGTCCAAGAGGCCAGATCCTAGTATGGCATCATATCAAGCATGCTCTTGGCTTCAATGAAGTACTTCCTCTCACTCATTGCTTTGAATAGGAAATTTGAGGACAAAATGTTGTGCTCCCCTAATCCATTGAAGACCCAATTAATTCTGCCATATTTAATCTGTTTCTATATGTATGCCAAGAGCAATGTGAAAGCGGAAAGACACTCATGCACATAAGGAAGAAAGAACTATATAACTATATATGAATGAATACATAACTATTGCCACCATCATCTCTACTATCTAACCCCACTCACAATTAAGCACTTGATCCACACTTGGATCTAAGCTTAAATTGTGCACAGCAAGGATGAAATAATAGAACATGTGGAGCTGATGAAAAAAGTATATGAAAATTTGTCAATTAACTACCCAAAACTTTGTTTTTGGCCTTAACTTTGCTTGCACACACTCTTGCTCATTACTACAATCTTACCTCTAGCATGTGGTTTTGGCCTTGAAGCCACCACACTCCCCAATCTTTGGCTATCTCACACTTAAGCATTCTTCCCAATTGTTAAAAATTCATGTAAAGAGTTGTTATGCAAAACTTAATTCTTCACCTGGATTGTTAAAATCTCTCACTACTATTATTCTTAGCTTGCTACTGCTTATTACTCAGTGCTTTTGCACATTCTACTGCTTCGATCTAGTGCCTCAAGCATCTTAAACATTGCAAGAAGGATTGCAATTAAGAAACTCATCCTCCTCTTTGTCACTAGCCTCTTAGGCAGCAAATGCCATGCCTAGGATCAAGAGGGCTTTATGAAAGTGGAAAAAAAAATATATAACTATATATAAATGAGTACATATACATAAGACTACTGCCACATAGGCATCATTACTGCCAATACCATCTCTATTATGCAACACAATTTGTTTCCAGATTTCAAATCATGAAGAGGCAGATTGCTGCTGTGGGTGTATGCCTGGAGCATGGTGGTGTGGGTGATGCAGTCTTTCTCTAAGCAGGGTCTCAAACATGCTCCTGGTCTTCCCAAAGCACCAGAGTGGGAAGACGGTGTTCAATGAGAGGCAATCCCTTTGCTGCATTCTATTGAACACTCATTGTGACTTCTTGAGCTGTCCGGTCTGCACGTAGCATCAAGCAAGGCTCGTCCAAGACACCAAATTCCGCTGCGGCATTTGCTCAAAGATGATCCACGCTTCTTCTGTAGCGCAATCCTTCTGAACATAGCAAGATTTCAGCACTGCATTCCACGAAATGCAATCCTTCCTCCCGAACACCTGATTCGCCAGACTCTGGGCATCAGGATCTTCGGTGACTGCACCCAAAAAAGAATTCGACGAAACGGCATCCCTCTCGTTCACCACATCAAACAGGCTCTTCGATTCCAGCATATGCCCGGCTTGGGTATACGCTGCTAACATGGTATTCCAAGACACCACATTCCTGGTGGGCATTCTTCCGAAGTTCTTATCAGCTTCTGCGAGATAATCCTTGTAGAAAAATTCAGAAACCATAGCATTTCACGAGGTGACATTCTTCCCTGCACTGCACTGCTATGAAACAGATCAGAGCCTGCTGCAGATGCCCGTTCTAGGCAAAGTCCCGCAGCTTGAAATTGCAAGCGAAAGAATCATGGCGCTTGATGCTCTGAACACAAGGTGCGCATCTTCCACGCTGCCACATTTCCACACATCTCATACAGCAGATTTGCAAGCACGACATTCTCGTAGATACTCAATCTTCCCTTCACCAAATCTCTCCAGCAAAATACCGAGAACTGCCATTGGTCGATTTCCATTGCTCTTAACTAGACGCAGGCATGGGTGATCAACCCAGAGATAACCACGTTGGAGCAAACTCCATGAAGGTCCATCTGCATGCTGGTTTCACAATCATAGGTTTTTTAAAGATGCTCAGGATATACCTAAATATAAATTTAGTAGTCCTATTCTTGAGATTACAGGTTAGGGTTAACTATGAGGAAAGTTAAATCAAAGGAAGTAGTGCAGCGAAAGGTCGAAAAGTTATCTCGCAAGGTGGAAAAACTAAGGGACAAGCGGAACGGATATGACGAGCGTCTGCGTCAAACGAAAGCAGAGCTCTCGAATGTGTGCAAGCGAAAGGCGGGAGATCAGAATGTCTGGGACGATCTACCAAAAAAACGGGCCAAGTATGTCGACAACCCTTTTCTGGCAGAGGTGAGTGTTCCGTTTTCCATGCTAAAATGTTTATGGGATGGAGTTCGTCATTTTGCAGAAAAGCAGCTACGATAGGCGTTTACTGGAAGTAAACAATCCGTTTGTGGACATCAAATCAGCTTCGGAGCCGCGTTACATGCCACCAGACAATGTTTCTGATGGAAAGCTCATGGACGAGGCAGCACTAACGGCAGCGATTCAGATTCTTCTAAAGCCCGTTGCAACGACTTGCAGACAGTTCAAAGCTAAGACGGAACTTGGAGCAAGAATTGTGCACGCTAGTATTCTTCAGAACATGAAGTTGTTGACGAGGCCTTCTTCAGAAGGAGGGAATGAAAGGCTGGCAGATTCCCAGGTTGTTGCTGGAGGAAAGGAGCAACTTCAATTGAAAGATTGTAAGTTTTTTAAATTTTTAGTTTTTGTGTTTGGTCTTGACAGACCTTCTGTAGTGCAATATGTTGATCAAGAAAGCGACGACGAAGGGGATGAAGGCATTGGTCGTTTGGTTGATCCAGATGTGCTTGTTGACCTCGACAGATACGATCTTAAGGCAAGAAAGATATGACATCTTTTAAGTATGTGGTGATTTCTTTTCTTTTTTGCAGGGGAAAGTTCATGATATGCAACTCGATCCAGCAAACAATTTGGTTACTGTAATCGTTATCGAGTGTGACTGGAAAGATGCTATGACAAAACTTGATCAAGGCGCCTGTTATGCTATCCGAGCAGCCAAACTGAATATGAAAAAGGGGAGATATGAACCTATTTACATACACCATTGGTGTAAAGCAGGTAATGGAGGAGCTTTCTGGTTAGGCAAACTAAGTTTTGTATGTTTCTTAGGCTGGCGTTATGGTGTACTACGACCCAGAGGTATTGTCACTGTGAAAGATGGAACAGTGGTGGATATTGTTCATCAAACGGGAATTCAAGGTTAGGCAATGAAATCTGAAGATTTATTTCTGACAAATCTATTTTAGACAAAGACAAAGCATCTTTGGAAGATTTGGAGTCCAAGTTGAAAGACTTCACAGAGATTCTTTCCGAACAATTTCCCGACGATGAATATGTGCTGGGCAGTTTAGACTTTTGTGCAAAGGTAGCTTTTCTTTCAATCATTTTCTTACTTCATAGTTGTTTAAGGATATATGTTCTTCAGGAAATGAGCCTTCCCACCAGTCCAGACGAATTGATCAACGAAGGTGGTTTATTGTTCTTCAATTCTTTGATCCGCACATTTCTTGGAGATCGAGCACTTACCCTCACATCAGCGGACATTGAACACAACCGTGCTAAGCGGGAAGCTGCCATTGACGAAGATATTGCATATTGTATGTCTTCCATTTCAACGACTTATGGCCGATTAGCAAGAGGTACTATTCTGGTTTTTGATTGAAGGGGAAATTAATAGATTGGTACAGGGGTGAAGCGGAGGTCTCAGTCGGCATCGCAATCAGTTTTGAGTAGTTCGGAAGCTGGGATACTTAACTAATAAATTTAATTTTAACATATAGAGTATCTGAAAGATTTTTGAATCCCTTATCTAGTGCTCTTGCTAGAGGTCCATAGAGCCTATAGCATAAGAAACTGCTTCAGCTCCTTAGATATATTATTCTACTTTGGGATCTTTCCGAAGAACCCTAAAAAGGGAACGATTACAAACATTTACTTATGTTCCTTGTGTTTGACACCATGAACATTAATCCAATCCTGGTAAAAGAAAACCTGCCAACTCGTGTCTGGAAGTTTTGGTGGGCAAGCCTGTGACACCGTCTCGAGGCTTTTTTGTGACAAAGAAACGCTCTGCTTCACAGGATGCTGAGAAACATTCACAGCCTTAGGTAGGGCGGGATTGCTTAGCAACGGGGACGTGGTGCCAGCACCCAAAACATGATGATTAGCAGCCATCCTACTTCTATTTAGGGTTCTTCGCAAGGCTTATTTATAGAGATAAAAAAAAACTTACCAAAAAAGGTCACCACAAAAAGTAACATTCAAAGGTATTATAGTAGAACTTTTGTATATAATTACAACAAGGTTGATGTTTTCTTTTTCTAACCAATCTTGGCTGATAGAGGTATTGGAATGAATGGGCCCTTGGCCTTGTCCCAGCGGAGCCAGTTCTCCTGGGCATCGATAAACTTTGGAGTGAGTAGCTGCTCCACGTCTCCATCTTTGACATGCCCGGCCCATACCACGCGGTTGAGCAGCGTACTCCCGGGGCCGGAACACCTGAGATTCACACATTTTGGAGTAGTTTTTGATCGTCAGAAGAGAAGTTCTGAGATCGAAAGCATCGGCTTGCCTGTATTCGTAGAAGGCGGCAGTCTTCTCGTTGTCCGGATTGTTCCAGTTGTTCCAGCCGACTGGCATGATGCAAGCGTCCATCCAGGTGTACGCGAACACGACTCTCGCGTATGGAGCCCAGGGGCGGCCCAGGTACATGTATGGCGATTTGCTCCCGGCTCCGGTGATCACACACCTGGACAAACAAAGCTCGCGATTCTGGAATGAAAGAAAAAGTTATCGATCACCTCAGGAAGACGTAGCCGGTGGTCTCGGTCGCGCTCTTTCGCTGCTGTGCGGTGATGTAGCCGCTGGATTTGCAGTGGATGTGGCAGTGCTCTAGCAGCGCGGTCGCGTTTCCAAAGATAAAGTCGCAGCTCCCTTCAATGTAGCAGTCCCGGAAGTACTGCCGTCCATAGTGAAGATAGGCCGTGTCCTGTGGATAGTTTGATTAGCGCAAAAAAAACGACGAGAACAAGCATTTCCTTTACAAACAGCACAGATCTTCAAAACAAAGAAAAAAACACGATGAAAGAAAAAAAAAAAGAAAAAATCACAGATGAAGGAATAGAGTCGGAATTCTAATCCTTTTTTCACCTGCCATCCAAGAAAGCGGCAACTGTAAAACGCACATCTGTCGGCGGTGACACGGATTGCCACTGCTTGGCCAGAGCCCTGTAGAAAGACTACTGTAGAAAAAAAGGAAAAAGTTCGCTGGCGAAAGATACCTTGGGTGAAGAATTCTCAAACGTGATGCCTTGTGCTATGAAATCCTCGCCCTCCACGATCACAGTGCCACAGCCAAAGGTTCCAGTCCCAATCACTCGAGATGCCTGCAAAGGGACTAAACAATGAGGCCACGATCTTCCATAACATAATTCTATGGACACTAAAGAGAAAACCGAAGATGTAGCCTTGCCTTGTGGTGATCGATGGAAGTAGCGCAATTCCCCCAGCTGAGAATCGTGGATTCAGCGCAGCTACCGAGCAGAGTGATGAGATTCTTGGATTTCGGCACATAGATCGGCTGGCGATAGAATCCAGGCGCGACTTGGATGACAATGCGCTGCCTGTTGCACAGCGGCACCGCATCGATCGCATCCTGGACTGTACAGTACTGACCCGATCCATCCTGCGCCACTCGCAGCACCGGGCAATCGATCGATCCTTCCATGGCGAGGGAGAAAAGAGAAACACGGGCATAGTGAAAATAAAATAAAGAGCCCTAAACCCCATTTTGAGAACGCGGGAGAGAGCTCCTCTAGGGTTCTAGCGATGGCGGATCTCTCCGTCTACGAATTCAAGGAGGAGGCGGAGGAGCCTCGGCCGCGGCTAATGCGGATGATCCGCGAGACTTGTATGTGTTCTTCTTTCTTTCTTATCGGGTATTTCGCGTCGCTTGTCTCTCTAAGGCGAGCGCCATCGTTCTAGCTGTGCAGCAGTTAGTGGAGGCGAGCGCAAGAGGAAGAAGAAGGCTGACGGTGATTGGAATCCTTCACCGGCGAGCGCTCGCAAGAACCGTGCGCCTCCTGCCGGTTCCAGCGTTGGATCGAGGACGCGATCGAAGAAAGCTGCGAATGTTGTGGAGCGGACGGACAAAGGAGTTCTTCCAGTCCTTTCCTACAAGAATGTAGTGCAGTTGGACGATCTGGAAGAGGACGGTGCTCCATCGGTGAGGTGAGTTTCTTACTCAATGTTTGTGTGAGAGTGGCTAATAGCTTCTCTTTGTTTCTTCAGGGAATTGGACGAGGATAAAAGAGAAAAAGAGTGAGTTCTTGCATTTCGTGTGTGTGGTTTTTTGTCTCCCTCTAGACCTTTCAAATCCTCCCTCTTCTCTGCTAATAGCTCCTGTTTGTTTTCTAGGAAATTGGAAGAGGGGAGGAGGGAAAGCGCAAAGGAGTAAGTTTCTTACTTTTAGTTCGTGTGATTTGCTGATTGATAGCTTCTCAGGGAACTAGAAGAGGAGAAGTTAAGATTGAAGGAGTGGGTTCTTGTTTGCTAATAGCTTCTCTTTGTTTTTCAAGGGGACTGGAAGAGGATCTAAAGGAGGAGAGAGCAATAGAGTGAGTGTCTTTCGATTTAAACCGTGGTTCACTTCTTCTTTCTTTACTTTCCGAAGGGAACTGAAAGAGGAGAAGCAAAGAGTGAAGGAGCAACCACGGATTCTTCTGCAAGAGGCACTAAGTATGAGCAGGTCGTGGCTTTTTCTTGGCCAGGTGCATTTCTAAAATGCCTGCCTGAATGTTAAACTTGGTGACGATTTCTTTTCTCTAACATTCTAGTCTTCTGTAGGTTGCATTCTCTTGTGTATCCACAAGATGATCCTGATCCAGTGACGATAACAAGCAATGACATTGACTTGCTTCGACCTTCGGCGTTTCTGAATGATACCATCATAGACTTTTACATCAAGTAAGTGGCTTCTCTTCTCAACTTTCTTCTTACTGAGACTTGATGGACAGGCATTTGCAAATGACGATGTCCGACGATGAGAAGGCGAAGACTTACTTTTTCAACAGCTTTTTCTTTCCGAAGCTCGTAGATTTGAGTGCGCTCCCTGCTGACGAGGCTCGGGCTGCGTTTGCACGCCTTGAAAAGTGGACAAAGAAGGAAGACATTTTCCAGAAGGATTACATCTTTATTCCCGTGAGTAGAAGGTAATCGTACGCTGAATTTTTTTATCCTTTCTCTAAGACATCGGACTAACTTGCACAGCTTGCACTGGAGCTTACTCGTTATTTGCTACCTAAGTGACATGCTTCCAACAGGTAACACTTTTTCACGCCTGTTTCTCGGCTCGCCATATCTTATTCTTTGACTGTGCAGATAGCGACTTACACACCGTCTCTACGAGGATTCTTCATTTTGACTCCCTCACGGGTTTTCATTCAGACATCGAACCCTTTGTCAGGAAGTTGGTATTTTCCATCGGATATATGGGTTCACGGGCCTAACATCGTTTCAGCTACCTCTGGCAGGAATGGAACAGGAGAAAAACAAGTAAGAAAGAGGATCGTAAGTATCATTTTGATCAAATCAAGTTCGTTAGAGTGGAGGTAACCTTGTTTTGAGTATCATAGGCTTCACTGTAATAGCATTGCGATTTCAGGTACCCCAGCAAGACAACCTGCACGACTGCGGTCTGTTTCTTTTGCACTACGTCGAGTTGTTCCTCGAGAGATGCTTCACGTCTAAGAGCAGTTTGTCGCTGGTAAGCGTCCTTGATTCTTGTCCTTTCGGTTATCGACACGCAATGCACTGCACAGATCACAGCGAACTGGTTTGATCCTGCCGAGGCGTCGGCAAAACGGTTCCAACTACTGCGGCTGATTCACGGAATGCTTACGGCCAAGCTGGATTCGCAAGGGGAGAGCAATCCTTCTCCGATCCACTTGTGGAAGCACGGGAACGATCTAAACTCCTCGCCAGACGATGCCGAGGAGCTCGTCATGTTTCACGGCTCATCTCCTTGAGAGCGTAGAGTAAGCTTCTCTTTATTATCTTGACAACAACTAAGCCAATGTCTCAAAGTTTTTGGTTGCAGGAGAGACTGTGTACAAACCTCTTTGTACAGAAATTTTTTTGACGACGACAACAATAAGAGCTTTTCCCTTTTTCTTTACAAATGCCAAAGAGGATTATTTTCCAGACAAGAAGAGAGTGGAGGAAGAAAAAAAAAAGAGAAGGTATCATTGTTTATACACCGAAGCCGTGTTCTTATTCGACAGTTGTTGATGGTGGTGGTGATGATGGTGGTGATGGTGTTGTTGTAGCAGGGACTGCTGTGACGACGGAGACGATGCCGACAGGATCTGTTGCCTCTCCTTAAGGCTCCCAATGGTAGCAGCGGCACCACTGTCGGCCGAGTTGCTACAGGGGGACACATCCTGCTCGTGCTGCTCCGGCCTGTCCCAGATCGTGATGTGCCCCTCGTGGCAAGCCGTGAGCACCGACTCTTGCGTGAACACCAGCCCCGACAGTGGCTCCGGATGGAGCTTGTGCGCCATGATGGGAGCGAGCTTTGGTACCTCCTTTCTCAGCGGGGCCGGCTGGAGACCGGTTGGATCGTGGTACTGCGCGGCCGACGTCTGTGAACCGGCCAGGCCCCCCGGTGATGAGCCGGGGGCTGCTAGCTTCCGGAATGGCATCACCACCTCGTCCATTGCCAGGTCCCACAGCAGTAATTGCGTGTCCTTGGGAAGTTGACAACGAGGTCTTAGTTCTGTATCCATTTTGCTAGAATCGAAGCTTGTTTTATCACTTACCTGGCCAACGGAACCGAAGCGATATGTTGTCGTGCCACCGTCGTCCGCCGGCGGCGTCCAGTATGGGTCAAACGCGACTTGACTTACCTGTGTGTAGTAAAAGAGAGTGTCAAATGAAAATAAAAAATAAAATGTCGAAACGCACCCAAGAATTGTGACCCTCTCCCCAGGCAACAACCGCCCGGTCTTCCATGCTCCAGACTTGGACTAAATCATCCTCTCCACCAGCCAACACGTACTTCCCATCCGAGCTAAGAGAGAAGAAAGAAGAGAGAAGATATAAGAAAAGTATTCCAAATACACAAGCACTGTTTACCTCCAGGCACAGCATAGCAGCGCACCAAAGTAGCTCTTCCCACCGCAGGCTACTTGCTCCTTGGCGTAATCAAATATTCTCAAGTAGCCTGCATAGACGCGCACCCATTAGCTATAAACGAGACACAAATTCTTTACCGCCATACCATCCCTTCCGACAGTAGCTAAAAACGTTCCATCACAAGAGAAAGCAAGGCTGTTGATAGCTCCCTGACATACATGCCATCTCGCAATGGGGTTGCTCTGCGAAACTTGGCGGGTCAGAACAAAGAATCCGTGAAAGCGAATGAAAACTTTAGCTCTTTACCTTACTTGATCTCGCATGAGAGACAGAAAACTGCGCTGGATCTTTGACAGGGGAGAACGACACATCGCCACTACCATCTTTCGTCTGCAAACTCGAGTCAGGAAACAAGAGAAGAATAGCAAGTAGCTGACCTTGTCGTAGACATATAGATTGCCATCAGCATGGGCCACTACAAACAATCCTTCACTGTGCGGAATCCAAGCAACCGCCGTGCATCGGCTGCAAACACCAAGCAAAAGCACAAACTTTTAGGCCGCTACGTTAGAAAGATTTCATGTATCCCACCTATTATTTAAAACGCCATCCTTATTATAATGCATAGCACCTACCAACTTCTTCCCTGGATCCTGCAATTGTTGCCTTAGCGACGTGGAATACACTGGAAAGCAATGTTTTTATGTATGAATAGAGAAAAGAAAAAGTGAGTACCATCTCCGGAGCTAAGGCCAATTAGCAGATCGTGCCCATCCTTGGCTTCAGAGTCAAAAGCATGGCAAAGAGGATTGGAACTGTTGAAATGGATACTCTTGATTGGGTCCTGAGCAAAAAAAAGAAGAAACATTTGTAGCACAAGTTAGAAACAAAATGGAAACCGAGAGACCGACTTGCCTTGTCCTGCGTATCATACGCGCTGATAAATATCGCATCACCAACGTTGAATATAACGTATGTGCCTTCTCCATCAAAATTGGAAACAATCGGTCCATTGCTCACGGACACACTCGCGGCTCCTGTAGCTGCAGTTTTCCCGCCTCCACTAAACTTGCTCGCAAACCCGTTGCCACCTACAAAACCGAGAGCTCTACTGCCATTCCCTGCACCTAGGAGCCTAACCGCAGCTGGAAACCTCATCCCACCACCACCACTTCCCGAGCTGTTACTCGTCGATGAATTCGACTGTGCCGGCTTATCCTTGAGATGAGCCAAAGTAAGCTGGAAAGGAAACGAAAGAAAAGAGAACCACCATCAATAGCCAGCACAAAGGAAAACCAAGAGAAGACGAAGAAACTCATACCTGAGTGACAGTTTTCCCATGACTGTAGTGGAGGAGGCCGGAAGGATGGCTCTTTTCTCTCGACAATTTGTAGCGTCCCTCGGGTGTCTTGAAGTGCGTACGTCCTCCTCCTCCTCCTCCCCCTCCTCCAGCGCTGGAAGGCGTGTTGGAAGAAGCAGCCATTCCTCTCATTCATTCATTCATGCACCAAAACTTTCCTGTGGCACAGGAAGTATCCGGCATACCATCGCTTGCACAGACGACGCCTCCACATCCTGATCACTGACCACTTCCATGCCGGCCCTCCAATTTCCAGGGAGAAATCCAGCATGCTGTCCTCACCATTCTACCTTCCTGCGCACCAATTCCTTTGCAAAAACCCTAAGGCGGCTTCCTCCTTCCTCTTTCTTTCTGCCCTACAACTCCTACTCTGCCAAAACCCTACCGCTCGCGAAATCCGGCCTCCCTGAGTCGATCGATTGCCCGCGCGCTCCCAGCTGCGCGAGATTGCGCGCTTCCAGCTAGATCGCCAGCACCAAAAACCCTCGAAATGCGCTTTTCGCGACAGACCAGATAAATACTAACTATAACCAAAATAGTCGTAACAACGATATTCCCCTTTCCTTCCAAACGAATCATTCCCCACGAATATTCGAGCTTTCAAAAAAGAGAAAAAACACACAAAATAACAAAGGAAAAAAAAAAAAAAAACGCGTGTAAGAATTTCGGTTAACTACACCGTCTCTAGAATCCGACCTTCCTGGGTTTGAGGACGAGCACCAATTTCTCCATCTCTGGAAAAGAAAAGGATGAAAAGCGAGAGAATCGATCGAAAGAACTTTTCCTTGACGGACCTGTTCTTGAAGAACGCAGTGGTAGCAGCGTTGTAGTTCACGTAGCCGTCAAGAACACCGTTTCCATAGCCGTTTGAGCTGTGCCCACCATTCTCCTTGAACGATCCAGAGCGTTTCTCGTCCACTGTCGAGTTTACGCTCTTGGCACTCGCGTAGTTCCCGTTGGCCTTGGACGCGAGAGCTGGGCTGGTCTCTCGCCGTTTCTCTTGGGGAGAACTCGTCGTCGTCGACGACGACGACGAAGTCGAGTCCGCGTTGAGAGCTTTAGAGCTTCTGGAACGCTGCGACTGAGCTTGTGCTACCGGTGTCAAAGCCACTGTTGGAGCTTGGACTGTTCTGGACGAAGGCACGGCTGCTGCGGCTTTGGCGACCGCGGTGGTGGCCGAGACGATGGCGTGAGCGCCTTCTCGAAGGAAAACGTAGTCCCCTTCCACGACAAACAGCTGCAGTGGCTTTCACGTCAATCCACTGTGGCCACCAAGGACAACCAAAACTTTGCATGGTTACCTGAGAATGAGCCTCCACAAACTCGCCGAGGCGTCCGTAGTGTTTGCGATAGTCATGCCAGTGCAGCGGAGCGAGCACTTTTGCCAGACGATTTGGTAACTGGAACACGATAGAACATATGATCAGACAAAACGATAACGGATACGAGACAAAGCTTACAGTCGTGCTGATTCGGATTTTAGCGCTCGGTTCGGCCGGTATGACTCTGACCAAGCAAGCCAGCAGAGAGTCTCTGTCCATCAGATGTAAATCGGAAATGCTGCCGTTTGCCTCCGATGTACTCCCGGATGAAACAGAAACAGAAGCTTCTTCGCGGAGAGGACCATCTTCATGGCTTTGTTCCAAGTCGCGTGTCTGGAAAAGTTCGCCATTACGGAAATGAAATTAAAGAAATGAAAGCCCGAGAAAAGTCTTTTGCTACCTTTACCGCCACTTGGTGTCCGTTTTCGAGGGGCTGTGCTGCCGATTGTTCTGTCTTGCTGTTCACGTGTGGTGAACTTTTGCTTCGTTCAATGACAGAATTGAAGCTTGCACAGTGAATGCCCTGTTGCTTTGGTGGTGCCATCTCGACGGTCACTTCTTCCCGATCCATGTAAGGATGCCTCTGAGAGGATAACCCGGAGAACATTTTCTCCATTTGACTCCTTTCTTGCTCCATGCTTGGCTGCTCCACCTCATTCACCTTCAGCTGTGGATTGGACTCTTCTGAAGAGCTTTGTGCATGCTTCTGTTCGATCGGACGTTGTTGCCGCTGGACAATCTGGGAGGGATGGTATATTGCTCCTGGCTGGAAGAAAACGAGTTTAAAACCACGTAACAAAAATCCAAGTTTGTAAAAACCTGCTGATGCTTCATCGGTGGTCGTTGCGAGATCAGCACAGGCACAGGCTGAGGAAACGGCATGGTCGACACTGGCTGAACCGCACCATATTGAGGAATACTAGGAGACGGAGGTACAACAGATGTCATTCCTAAAACTGGAGCTGTAAGGACAGGCAGACCTGTTGCGTGCTCAACCTGATAGGAAAGAAACTTTGTATGAGCACAGCTTTAGCTAACAAACACAAACCGGCGGTAGTCCATCAGGTGGGATCATCATAGGAAATGCACCCTCCATGTGTATTACGGGCAACTTATGGTGAAAAGCCATCCCTTGCTCAATAGCCTTTGAGCCTCGCATTCCACTGCCATCGATTGTCATCTCTTTGTTCCTTACAAAATGATTCGTTTCTAAGTCCTGCTGCAGCTTTTGGATCACTTGTTGATAGTAGCGCTCAACGTCTGATACCTGTCGAGTTTAGTGACGTGAGTTCAGCAAGAACTGCAAAAGAAAAAAGTTTCAGACCTGACGTTGGCAGCTAACCCACAACTGCGTCATTTGCTCTGTCCGCTCCCGAAGCTCAGCATGGATTGCGTTCATGTGATATGCTTCCAGCTCCTGCGAACGAGCCATCCAAAGCTGCGCGTCCCTTAGCTGTTTATCATTCGGAAACAAGATATCCTGAAAATCTCAAACTTCATTCAATCCTGGAAGAGTGCGTTTAAGGATCGGTGCTAACCTGTTCCTCTAGCTCCTGAAGACGGCGTTCTTTGTCGCGAATCTGCTCTTTCAAACTTTCCACTTCAGCATGATGGTCGGCCCTTTCAGCATCCAGTTGGGCAGTATTAGACTTGTTCTCAGCCAACGCATTGTCACGTTCACGCCTGGAGTAAACGAAAAAGCCAAAGAAAAAGAAAAAGAAGAAAGAAAAAAATCATGGGCTACATTTTCACACAACGTTCGCTGCAATCACCTTGTTTACCTCAATGTAGCCAATTCACTTGTTTGGTCCCTGATAAGTGCTTCCTTCGCCCAGACCTATATGGATTCCAGTATTGTATAGCTAGGCATGAAAGAGAATTATATAGAAAGCTTACCTGGTTCCTTACATCGTTGGCTTCCATTTGAAGCTGCCGTTCTCTTTCCTCCGAGTGTTGTTGCATCTCTTGCATTTGCTCCTCTCTTTGATGTAGTTGTTCCTAAAGACATACTCTTTAGGAAAGCAGAGACGAAAAAAGAAGAAAACCACGCACCTGGAGGCCACTGACGATCTCATTGTGCTGCTTGGCTTGCTCGTCGAAACTGGCTTGCAGTCTCAAAATCTCGTTCCGCGCAAAGAACCTGACTTGGAGATCCAGCTCCACCTGCTGGAGATGCTCCCGCTGCCTGGAGATCTCGCTCAACCGGTGCTGGAGATCGTCAATGTGGGCATCCGCGGCCTCCAGAGCTTGATCGCCATGCTAAGCACAAGATGGAAAAACTAAGAACGGGAGAAATCTTCCACAAGAAGGTCGCGGCTTACCTCCTCGTTCTTAGCTGCGAGCTTGTCGGAATTCACATTCTCCGCGTCAGGGGGGTAGACCCTCCCATTTCTCGGGCGGGAAGAGGAGGGGCCGGGGTAGCGCTGCTGCTGCCGGACCTGTGTATGGCTCATCCTCGCAGCGGCGGGAGCAGCGACAGCGGCAGCCTCGAAAAGCTTCTTTTGGTGCTGCTGTTGCGCTCCTCCTCCGCCCTCGGACACGACGCGCCACTCCTTCCGCCGCGCCGCCGCCGCCGCCGCTACCGCCGCCGATGGCTGCTGATGCTGCTGCTGCTGCTGCTGAATCGCTACAATGCCGTCCATCGAGGCGCTCCACAGGGCAGCCGGGCAGTCATCGTCACAGCGCCCTCGCCATAGCCTAACCTTCCAAACCCTAATCCCGCATTTTCCTTTAATGGTAACTCTCCTTCGATCCTCAGGAGATTCAATTTCTCTAAGATCAAAGGAGTAAAACAATTAAAAGAAGTAGTTACAGCTGCATTTTCATCTCACAGATAAACCTCTCATATTCCGACTCGACCTGGTTATTCTTGCTATTGCCACCACTCGCATTGCCATTACTCGACACCATGGCGCTGGAAGCCCAGGGAGGGAACACTGGCGGCGGCGGCGCCGCCACTGGTGGATAGTAGCCACCACCAAACTGGCCCGAGTAATCCCCGGACGCTTGGATTCCTTGCATTTCGAAAGAATCCATCCCGGGAGGCGGCGGAGGTGGCAAAGCGCTGGCGGCCGCCCCGGCGGCGAACGCAAATCCTGGCGGAGCGTGCTGGTGGTGGTGGTGGTGGTGAAACGCGTTGAAGACTGGCGGAGGAGCCGCGGTCCCAGGCGGGGCTAGCGGGGGGAACGCCGGCTGAGGAGCGGCGGCGTATGGAGTGAAAATGGGAGGAGGTGGCGGCGGGGCTCCCCATCCCGGACTAACTTGCTGGTGTTGGTGTTGGTGGTGTTGGAGCGGCGGATAGATTGGAAACCCGGCTGCGTCAGTTCCATACCCCGCCGCCATGGGCGCCGCCGCCACCGGGGGCCTCCCCGCGACTCTCACCGCCAGAGTTTTGTCCTCCACCTTCCAGCCGTTCATGTGGTGCACGGCCTGGACGGCACACGCAGCGTCGCAGAACTTGACGAAGCCATAGCCTTTGCTCGCGCCGGTGTTCCTGTCCCGGATCACTTTCACCTCCTCGATCTGGCCGAACGGGCAGAAGAGGCTCCGCAGGGACTCGTCGTCGTAGTTTGGCGGCAAGTAGCCCACGTACAAGTTGGTGTCGTCGGATTCCTTGGCGGCCCTGCTGGTGGTGGCGGCGCCGCTACCACCTGTTCCACCACCTTCACTCGCCCCGTTTGACCCTCCACCGAGCAGCAGCGTCGAGCCCCCGGAGTGCCGGCCCACCGAGGACGATGACGACTCTCCCCCCATTCCATCCGCGTTCACTTCCACCAAGAACTTCTGGTACTCCCCGTCCATCTTGTTCGAAGCGCCGCCTTGCTGCCGGCAGTCGCTCGTCGGGTGGCCGCCATCGCCACACTTCGCGCACACCACCCCGGCCTTGAAAGTGGTATTCTTCTCCGGGCAGCAATACTGCCGGTGCCCGAGCTGTCCGCAGTTCCGGCAGCTCTCGTCGTCCCGGATGGTCCCGTTGAGCGCCGCAAGCTCCCTCAACTGCGCGCGCTTGTGCTCGTTCATGCCTTCCTCCACCGGCTGGAGCAGCTTCTCCACCATCCCCGCCGCGGCCTCCAGAGCTTCCTGGCTGTCCGCCTCCACGAGTACGTGCAAGTCTTCATTCTCGCTGGGATCCGGCTTCACGTCGCGCTTCTGCTGCGTCCGCCCTTCCTTGACCGAGCCCTTGCCTCGGATGACGATCTTGGCGCCGGTCTCCTTCTCCATTCTCTTCTGCGTGTTTCCCCGGGGACCAATGATGAGCCCGATGAAGTTGTAGCCAGGGTAGTCCTTCGCCGGGATGAAGAGCTTCTTCTGGAGCTTTGGAGGCTTGTAGTCCGGCGGCGGCTTGAACTGGGGGTTCCTCTTGATCATCTGTGCAATCAGTTCGTGCCTTTCCTTGGTCAGCTTCTCCCGGGCACGAAACTCCCGCGTGTTGATCCTGATGCCCATGTTGTCGTAGATGGGCTCCGGGCTGGGCGACCTCGGCCCCTCGGACCTCTCCTCGAACAGCTGCCCGATCTGGAGGCGCTTGCTCAGCTCCAGCAGCTTGATGTTGAGAAGCTGCATTTCGGGATCCAGCTCGATGCCCGTCATGAAATTGGGCAAATTCACGTTGGGAAAGAGCGTCTTGGACGAGCTCTCCTCGGCAGCCCAGCGGGATTTCCTCTTCTTGGGGGCCGGCGTCCCTCCTCTGCCCTCCTGCTGCTCGCCCGGAGCCGCGGCCTCGTTAGGCTCCCATCGGCTTCTCCTCCTCTTCCCGGACAGGGTCTCAGCTGGGCTCTTGTCCTGATCCTCGCCAATCTTGTGGAGAAAATGCGGCGATTCATCGATGCCGTCGTCGCACTTACCTGGGCTGCTGCCGGCACTCCACCCCCCGTGCCAGGACGATCCCCCCGGCTCCGTGCACGCCATCGCGGCCGAAGAACCCTAAAATACAAGCTCCTCTCGCTAGCGAATGAATCGCCAGTGCCCCTAGCCCTCTCTCTTACGTGGCGCTCCCCTAAGCGACGAATATTCCCTAGCTGTGTGTGTCGCCAGGGAGAAACTCGATCGATGCGATGCGCGAGTTCTTGCGATATTCTTGAGAGCTTGAGGAAGAAGCTTATCGATCGATAGATCTGGACGCCGCGCGCCGCTGCCAAGAATCAATCGCTAGCAGCGGCAATGCCCCCGCCCGATCGGAATTGCTTCTCGTCCTGGTGGATCACGGCGACCCGGTGTGGCGCCGCGGAGCATCCCCTCTTGGCGTACCTGGTGACCAGCGTCGCCACGCTCTTCATCGTCGTCCTGGCCTACATGACGATCCGCTGCTGCTGCCTCTACCACCAAAATCGACGGCGGCAGCTCCAACAGATGATGCTCACGATGCGCGGCGGCGGCGGCGGCCATGGCGAGGATCTACGCCAGATGGAGGAGCAGCAGCGGCGCGTGATGATCCAGCCGCTCAATAATCTGGCCCTTGGCGCCGCGATCTTCGAGTCGCAGCACGGGATTCTCGCTCCGGCGCCACCGCAGATCGAGCAGCCGCAGCATCATCCTCCGCCGCGGGTGTGCGTGATCATGGCCGGCGAGGAAAGCCCTAGCTTCATCGCGCAGCCATCGCCATTGCCCGGGGAAGCATCGTCCAAGAAATGAGAGGAGCTGTGGCTGGGGAATATGCGTTTAGGTTTCTAGCTGGGCGGAGCGATGGCGGAGAGGGCCGCAGAGCTCGCGCGGACTGCCGCCGAGAGGCTGGAGTCGCCATTGCCCTGGGCGGTGAGTGCCTGCTCGGTAATGCACGGCGCCGGGGTGTCGATGCCGTCCTTGGATTTGGCGAAGGCCATGGTCGCCGACGTTCCATCGCCGCAGCTCATGCCCTTTGTGGATCAAAGCATTGCTTCCGGGCTCGTGTTCCCGATGCATATGCTATCGCTTCTCGCCGCCAAGTAAGTGTGATCGAGCTAAGAAATAGATTGTTTGTAGTTTCGCTACTAGCGAGTTCTCATTGCTCCAGTGATCTGGCTGACACTAGATTTTTCTTTCGAATGCAGGGTAATTCCAGTGCGCCAACAACAGCCAGAGACTTATATGATGTTCCTCAATCTCCTCGACACTTATGCTTTTACTCTTTCTCTGAGAACTACGGTCTCCAGTACTGAGAGGCAAGTTTTCTCTTTGTTTTTATCATGTTTTGACGAGAAGTGTTGAGCTTTTCTTCTTCTTTTTTTTTTCCTTGCCTGTAGATCACTGAAGAGCATCCTAGAAATATTGGAGCTTCCTTTTAATGGCGACGCTCCGAAAGAACTTGGCACCGTGGCTGTACAGTTTATACTAGCGCTGTGCTGCCGTCTTGTCGATGCAACAGCCGAGGATTGGTCTATGGCGTTGAGCTCTCCAAGTAAACCAACTGGAAGTTATTTAACAGTGAATGACTTTGACGATGATTTTGGAAGGAGACGACAGGAAGAGTCAGAGCAGGCGAGAGGTAACAGCTTGAGGGCCCTTGAGCTTGTCACCAATTTTCTCCATCACAAGAAAACCTCCGTACTGCTGAGGCTTGCTCGGAGAAACTTGTAAGTGCTTCACGTTTGCATTTGCTCCACGATTTTAATTTCTTGTTGCAGATCGGAGCAGTGGGGTTTGTTTGTCCAGAAGCTAAAGTTTCTCGAAGTGATTATACGCGATACGACGTTAGGAGCTCCAAGAGAAACCGGAGAGCTCTTTGCACGCTTAGCTGCTGCCATTCAGCAAGGCTTGGTCCAAGAACAAAGCAACCGTCGAGTTGTGTACAAGGTCTTGCTGGACACGAACACTTCCATGTCGGTGTTTGGAAACTATTGGGGAACTGGCCGTACAGCGCCGTGGCTTCCTTTCGATATTTTCATGGAGGACGCTTTGGAAGGAAGGAGAGTTCCCGCGTCTTCCACTGCAGAAGCTCTTGCAGGTATTCTTCTTTTTGACATTTTCGTTCTTGGCAAACCATAAGTTGTCTTGTGATGTCAGATTTAATCAAGTCACTTCGGGCAGTTCAAGGTGCTTCATGGCATGATGTATTCTTGGGGCTCTGGATTGCGGGTCTTCGGCACGTAAACCGGGTAAGATTTTCCGTCTTACTGCTCGCGTGCCTCGATCATAACAAGCCGCAACTTACAGGAACGCGAACATGTTGAAGGGCCAAGACCGCACGTAGACTCTCGGCTTTGCATGTTATTATCTATTGTCCCGTTAGCTTCAGCAGCTGTTATAGAGGAGGAAGAAAACTCTCAACAGTACAATGTCTCGCGGGTTGACGATAATGAAAGAGGTCGCCGAGCAGGGTTTGTTTCAAGCTTACAAGTTCTTGGCCAGTTTGAAGGTCTACTCTGCCCGCCACCGATTGCCGTTCCTGCGGCTAATCAGGCTGCCATGAAAGCATCGGCATTCGTTGCGGGGATTAAGACAACTCGCGACGGTTATGTCCCTGCCGATGGAAGCACCAAAGCAGGTAACTGTTTTATTTATTTGTTTGTCTTTCTTGAGTATCTCATCGACATAAGCTTGCAGTGGGAAACATGAGACACCTTATTGTCGAGATTTGTATATCCAGAGGTCTTCTAGATGCCTCCGCTTATCTCTGGCCTGGTTATGCTGTAGCTATACCGCTTTCGGGATCATCCCAGTCATCGCCATGGGCTGCTTTTATGGAGGGGTCGTCCTTGGCTGGGCCGTTGAAGGGTGCGCTGATAAATACTCCTGCATCCAGGTATGATATTGGAATCTGTATGCTGGTCTTAACTTGGAGCACTACATCAAAGTGTAGCAGAACTTGAGAAGGTATATCAGATAGCTATAAACGGTGCGGAAAATGAGAGAGTTGCTGCGGCAAGTATTCTCTGCGGGGCCTCGCTTGTGAGAAGCTGGAGCATCCAGGTAATTGTCTTTTCTCTATGTCTATGCTGTTTTTTCATTTACCGTGTCTTTTGTAGGAACATGCGGTCCGATTAGCTGTTCGTTTAGTGTCTCCTCCAGTTCCAGCTGAAAGTAGATCTGGTCATCCCTTGATGAATTATTCCTCCATGCTTTTAGCTGCTTTGGGGGCCCTGACAGAAGTGGATGCAGTTCACGTACTTTCGCTGTATGGGATGGTAATGCTTGATAAATATCAGCTGGTCTTGTCGTAACTTATTTTTTTTAAATGCTTGCAGTTTCCAGAACTAGCGGCTGCCTTGCTGCCAATATGTGAGGTATTTGGTTCCGCGACACCGGCACCTCAAAGCACGGGGGAAGAGGTATCTCCACATATGGTATTTTCGGTGGCGTTTCTCCTCCTCCTCCGGCTGTGGAAGTTTCATCGGCCTCCACTTGAGCATCGGCTACTTGGTTTTGAGTCCCCTCTTGGAGGAGATTTAAGCTTGGACTATATTCTTCAACTTCGGAACTTGGGGTTATCTTCGCAAGGCACCCAGCCTGTGCATCATGTGAAGCTAGATTCCTTTCCGAAGCTCAAGGCGTGGTACACACAGAACCAAGCATGCGTTGCGTCTACTCTTTCCGGGCTCTCTGGATCGGGCAATCCAGTGCATCAAAACGCTGACAGGCTCCTGAATATGATGTTTAAGAGAATCAAAGGGGCTGCTCCTGATGAGACGTCAGCTCGACCCATGCTTCCAGCGTGGGAGATCATGACTTCTGTGCCTTTCGTGCTAGACGCGGTACTTACAGCCTGCGGCCATGGGCGACTGTCATCCAAAGATCTAACTACAGGTTCGTTTCGTTAAACTTGCTATGGTTTTAATTTTTCGTATTTCCAATCATGCAGGACTTCGGGACCTCGTAGATTTTCTTCCAGCTTCCATAGCCACCATTGTCAGCTACTTCACAGCAGAGGTGACTCGCGGTTTATGGAAATATGCTTCTATGAATGGAAATGATTGGCCTAGTCCAGCTGCCAACCTTCTCTCCGTCGAAGCTGAGATAAAAGAGATCCTTGCAGCTACTGGAGTGCAAGTGCCTAATCTTGTTACGGGTAAGAAAGCTTCTAACAGTTTCATTGATGTATCTAACAACCTCTTCTCTTTTTTTTTTTGCAAGGCTCGCTGGGTGGCAATGCTCCAGTGTCACTTCCGTTACCGCTCGCAGCATTTCTAAGCCTGACAATAACTTTCAGGCAGGATAAGTCCTCGGAACTAGTTCTCGGCGTCGCTGGGCCAGCTCTCGAGAGCACAGCAGGAGGCAGCCCGTGGCCCAGCATGCCAGTGGTAGCAGCACTCTGGGCTCAAAAGGTGAAACGGTGGCACAGCTTCATCGTCTTCGGTGCCTCTCGCACCGTGTTCAAGCAGGACAAGAACGCAGTGAAGGAGCTGCTCCGGAGCTGCTTCGCGGTGACAACCGGAACCACGGGAACCCTGATGTCCAAGCTCCAAGTTCACGGTGGCGTTGGAGCTCTCCTTGGACACGGTGGTATGCAAGGCGGCCAGTATCCACTGGCACCAGGAATCCTCTACCTGGGAATCTATCCGGCCCTTCACGAGATCATGTTCGTCACGGACGAGATTCTGTTCCTGGTGGTGAAAGCCGCGCGGGACCTCACAGCAGCCAAAGGAACGACGTCAAAAATCTCGTGCGCGAGCGCCATGTCTCGGGTGTTCCAGGCATCGACTTTGGGAGCAAGCTTACTTCACATCTCGGGCGGCTCGACTCTTGTCCAGACACTCTACTCGGAGAGTCTACCGGCGTGGTTTCTAGCTGGTGGTAATCCGGAAGAAAGCTCCTCCTCCACTAGCAGCGGCAGCGGCGAAGGAAGCCTGGTAGAAGGCTACGCAGTGGCACACTTTGCTCTGCTCTCCGGCGCTCTCGTGTGGGGGATCTCGTCCACTTCCACCAAGACCTCGCACAGGACTCGACGCCGCCGAGTTCTCGGCTCTCATATGGAGTTCCTGGCATCGGCCTTGGATGGAAAGATTGCTCTCGGTTGCGGCCGCGCTACGTGGAAGGCCTACTTGACGGGATTCATAGCACTGCTCGTGAGCTCCACTCCAAACTGGATCCTCGACGTCAAGCTCGACGTTTTGAAGCGGCTGGCGAGGGGACTGAGGCTGTGGCACGAGCAGGAACTGGCGGTGGCTTTGCTCGAGCGAGGAGGCCCCGCAGCAATGGGACCAGCGGCGGAGCTGGCTTGAGAGGAACAACAGCTAAATCAGTGAAATCTCATGCTACTAATACCATGGATGATCTGGCGTTCGATATTTATATATGTAAGTTAAATATAATTTGTATACTACCACATTTTCAGGATGCTTCGTAACCATGAGAAAAAAAATTCTGATGTACATATTAGCAATTTCCTGGTTAGTATTCATGTTCCACTTTAATGCAGCAACCTTATTCGTACGGAAGTATGATTTAACATAATCGTTTTCACAAAATGCCAAGTAGCCCTAAGTTTTTTATTATTTTCTCTAGCTATGGCCGAAGCCATCGAGCACAGCGTGGTGGAGACGAATGGTATCGGGATCCATGTCGCGCAGCTAGGATCAGGTAGCTTCAATTTTCTTTGATCAACATTTATCGATTCGATCCTGCGGCTGTGACAAAAATCAGGGCCAGCGGTGCTGCTGCTCCATGGCTTCCCCGAGATTTGGTACTCGTGGCGCTACCAAATGCCCGCCTTGGCAGCCGCGGGCTACCGTGCCATCGCTCCCGACCTGCGAGGCTATGGCCAATCCGATGCGCCGCTTGGAATCCAACACTACACTGTGTTTGACGTCGTGGGCGACCTCGTTGGCCTCTTGGATTTCCTCAAGCAAGACCAGGTACCGTGGAGAAGCAGGGTTTTGGTTTTCCTGTGGGATGTGTTCCAGCGAAATTTTTTTTGGTAGGTTGTTCTCGTCGGCCACGATTGGGGCGCGATCATCGCGTGGAACTTTTGCATGCTAAGGCCGGAGAGGGTCAAGGGGATCGTGGCTCTCAGCGTTCCTTTCTCGCCGAGAAATCCACACATAAGTCCCGTCCAGCGCTTTGAGAAGCTGATTGGAGAAGGATTCTACTACTGCCGCTTCCAGGTATCTGTTTCCTTCTTCTCCGATCAAAACAGTGACAAGAATTCCAGGAACCTGGTAGGGCCGAGGCTGATTTTGCTCGTCATGGAACCAAGGCAGTGCTCAAAACTTTGCTGGGATCATCCGGGAGAGGAATGGTAGCTCCAAAAGACAAGGAACTCTTTGACATTTTCAGAGTCCCGGATAAGCTACCACCGTGGTTAACCGAGGAAGACATCGAGTACTACGCTCTCCAGTTCGAGAAATCGGGATTCACACCACCACTAAATTACTACAGAGCCACGGACTTGTAAGTCACGAAGATCTCTTTCGCGTCGTGGAAAAAAAGAAGAGCTGTTGTTTACGTGCAGATCGTGGAGGCTTTCATCTCCATGGACAGGAGCTCGCATCCAAACTCCAGCGATTTTCATCACTGGAGACAAGGACGTGGTTTACGGCTTCCCTGGAACCAAAGAGTTTATTCACAGCGACAACTTCCGCAAGTTCGTTCCAAATCTCTGGGGAGTTACTGTCGTTCCAGGCGCTGGCCATTTCATCCAGCAGCAAAAGCATGCCGAGGTGAACGAGCTTATCCTGCGCTTTCTCGCGTCAATCCTTCCGTCTAGACTATGATCCAGGCGAGTACCACAAGAATAACGCGTGAACTATACAGAGTTAGCGAGTATGTTCGTCACCTTTTCCCATAGTATAAAGATTAGGCCAAAATGGAGCGCCTACCGATGGAGCTTCACGATCTTGCAAAGCTGCGATGGATCTATCTCAATAGGGCTCCCTTCTTCGCATGGCCTGGTTTGCTGGTTGCAGCCGTGCGCGTGACACACCGTGGAATTTTGTGGTTGGCAATCCATTGACGAACAAATGGAGGTTTGCGGCCTCCATTCGAACTCCCTTCTCGTGGGAAGATCGAAGAAAAGATCCATCTCGAGGTTGATCCGTCCAAAGGTTCTTACAAGCTGGTTCTACAATCAATATGGTGCCACTCGTTGCTTTCGACTTCGCCACCCTACTCTTCCAAGAAGAACACTAAAAAGATATGTTTTTCTATATTCAGGTGGTGATAGCCTTTTAGTGTATAAAAAAGATCCTCATTTTTTTTTCCATAGGGTTTTTTTTTTCTTTCAGGCAATGCGGATCCGAACGAGGACCAGGGCTGAAGCTGTGGAGATGGAGAGGGAAAAGAAACGACGCAAACTTGTGCATCAAGGTGACGTAGAAACGCTTGGGAAAGGTGGAGACGCGATCAAGCCCAGCGCTTTAGAGCGACGCTACGAGTTGGGGTCTCTCCTGGGCTGTGGAAGAGGCGGTGTGGTTTTCAAGGCTACGAGGAGGGGCGATGGCCAAGAGTTCGCAATCAAGACCGTGAGTGGCGGCAGCTCCAAAGAGGCGCTTCTGATGCTCAAAGCCGGGGACAGGGTGAACGACGGTGTCATAAAGGTCAAGGAGCTTCATTACGATGCAAAAAGCGGCGAAGGTGGCAACCCTAAGACCCACATCGTCATGGAACTGTGCGCCTGCAACCTCGACCTGGGTGTGAAGTTCGCGGAGCCAACCACGGCGAGGATATTCTTTACGGTCGCCAAGGGCCTCCGGGAGATCCATCGAAACGGGGTCATCCACTGCGATATCAAGCCCGCCAACATTCTCCTCACCCGGGAGCTCGACGCAAAGTTGGCGGACTTTGGCCTGGCTTGCGACGCTCACAAGCCGTGGGAGATGGATTTTGTTGGAACCCCCGGTTTCATGGCTCCCGAGGTTATGTTTGATGGGATCTACACACCGGCAGTGGATGTTTGGAGCTTGGGCATGACGCTGCGGTACGCCTTGCTCGGGAAGCTGCGCCATTTGAGCAGCGATGCCGATGCGACGCCGTTTGTGGACGTGATGAAAGAGATGGTGGAGAAAAGGGAGACGTATTTCCTGGACTGCGATGAGATTGAGCTCGCGAATATGTCCATCGAAGTGATTGATCTTCTGCACAGGATGTTAGCGTTTGATCCGGAAGAGCGCATCACTTTGGATGAGGTTCTTTGCCATCCTTGGTTCATATCCATGAGGAATGGTTGTATTGTATCACCAATCGAAAAAATGAGCGATGTATCCAAAAAACTATTTGAAATATAGTTTAATATTAAACAAAATGAGGTTAACAAAAGTTTGGTAGCTAGATATTCCAACGCCAACTTGGAGTGTCTCTTGAAGCATCGAAACATCATATATATCTCTCGGATCGATCAGTATTGAAACTCCGCTCCTCCCAAAAAAAAAAATCTCGCTCCTTTTTTCTCCTCTCGAGTGCTCGGCAAACCAATCAAGAACACACGACACAAAACACACTGGATCTTTTACATTGTCTCGTTGCACGCGTGTTGACAAGGGAAGTTCCAGGACAAAATTTTTGTCTTCGTTAAAGAGAGCAAGCGATCTGGAAAACACAGGGCAGGGTGTCTAAAGTGGAGAGTTAGGCACAATTGATTTTGTTCCAGTGGCACAAAATGGTCCATCTTTATAGAGAGTTTAAAAAAGAGATCTTATTATTTTGTTTGCCTAAATTGCCCGCAATGCTATGCCGGTGGGCAAGGTGAACCATTGACCCTTCTAAATATTATCTATCAAAATCTATCAAGGCTTGCAATTAGCTAGATCATCACAAGTCGAACGCTCCAACCGTCAAGATTCAGGGCACATACTGGCTTGCTCTACAATCATCCGTCACCACCCAGAAGGAGGCAGCAGTGCATCATAAAGATCAAGAAGCAATCTAGTGACGGAAAACTCCCACTGGACGAGCCTCAACAACCCCTTAGTTGCCACAGTTTGCAACCAATGTACGACTCTAAGATCAAGAAGATGCTGGACATGGTGGTGGGGTGGAACACACACTGGGCGCAGTAAGCACAAGCGAGGAGGTGAGGCGTTCAGTTTCAAGGAAAACAATTGGAAGTGTGTCCCAGCCCCGGATCCAGGCGCTCTTGAGCTTTTATTATTGCGGCTGCGTGGGACACAGGTCTAGGCAAAAATCTGGAAGTTGAACTCGTGAGAGGAGCAAAGTGTTCTTTCTAGCCACACTCCACTGTTCCCAGCAGAGGGAGAAGCTTTTGTAACACACTGGACAAAGTTCAGCAAAAGGAAGAATTAGTGATTGATTGGATTATTTATTGGATTTGAATTGAAGTTATATTAATCATTAATAATTTTTATTGTTTTTGTCTTGTTATGAAATAAATTACATCTTACTTTAGATAGATACATGCATGAAAGATCAGTCAATGTGTTAAAGGTGGGCAGCTGTGTGGATAGAGTTCTTGGCTACAAACACACTTACATGCAAGTAATGGGAAATCCACCACCAAAAGAAATGGTGGTGGATTTCCCATTACTTGCATGGCGACATCGTGAACATGTCTCCAACTTCTTTTGACCCTGACTTTGGGTGAGGATCGTAAAGATTAAAGGAAATGGTACTATTGAAAAGTGAAATCAATTGTATAGTGTAACTGATGCAAGCTAATCCACAAATGCTTCACTCACTGGATAGTGGTGTTGCTGCTCCATGGCTGGCCCGCTTTGGCGGCTATGGCAACACTAACTGTGTTTGACGACCTCGTTGGCTTTCCTATGTCTTTTGGTTCCTCGATCAGGCTGTTCTTGTCGGCCACGATTGGGGAGCGATCATCGCGTGGACCCGTCCAGCGGATTGGAAAAGAATTCTATCTCTCACATTTTCTTCTTCTCCTATCAAAACACCAAAAAACTTTGCTGGGATCGTCCCGGAGAGGAATGATTGCTCCAAAAGACAGCGCTTTGACGGGAGAGGAACACATCAATTACTTACTACGCTCTCCAGCACGAGAAATCGGGATTCACACCACCACTAGATTACTACAGAGCCACAGAATAGTCACGATCCACTTTGAGATCACTTTCGCTGCCATGGGAAAAAAAAATAAGGAAAAAAAGCTGATGTTTACGTGCAGATCGTGGAGTGGACAGGAGCTCGCATCCAAACTCCAGCGTGGTTGACGGCTTCCCTGGAACCAAGGAGTTCATGCACAGCAACAGTCATCGCAAATTCGTTCCAAATCTCCGGTAAGTTACTGTCGTTCCAGGCGCTGGCCATTCCATCCAGCAAAGGTGAACGAGCTCATCCTGCATTGATTCTTCCGTCTAGACTATGATCCCGGCGACTGGCACAAAGAGTAACGCGTGAATTATTCGATCAATCCTTGTATGTACATAGAGTTAGCGAGTACTTCTCTCGACTTATCTTCCCAGTAGCCTCCGGCCTCTTTCGTTGGCACCCCTGACACGGCTGCCAAGCTCGCCAACATCGTCCTCGAGGTGACCGAGAGCATCGGTTTGGCTGCAAATCCAGTAGATAAAAGAGCATTAGTTCTCTCCCTCTCTCGGAAAGCATAGAAGCTAGTTTGCTACTCACCGTCCTATCTCCGATCCCATGTCTATAGTCATCTCTTTGAGCTGGCCAAGAACGTTGCTCAAGTCCGACAGCGCTTCGTCCTGCTTCGCAAACTCATTCTAAAAACGCAAACGGTGAGGTGAGCATCAAATCGACAAAGGACGAACAAACCGTGATGCGAGTCTGAGCTTGAGATCCCGACGAGTCGGCAACGGCTGCCGTGTGGCGAGTCTTGCCTTTGGAGTTACTCCGGTTCAATCCCAAAGCGGCTCTTTGCTCCATACCGTAGGCTTTTCTCTTGAACGAATCTCCTGTAGATTTTCCATCCGCGATTTTAGCAAACGGTAGCAGCCATGAAATAAAGCTCTTACCTCGAGAAAGCATCGGTCCCGTTATGTTGCGAGCCTTCTTTGGCTTCCAGGTCTTCGAAAAGAGGCCTCCAAGACTGCCGAGGAGCTTCTCACCCTGGAATCCAAAGAAAATTTCAAGACTGATGGCTAAGAGAAATCAAGATAGAAGTCATACTGACCCGGCTAAGTGCGTGATCGATGTCTACAGCAGTTTCGTGAGTGCGAGTAATCTGGTGACCCTGCTCGTGAAGCATCACCGACGTATTCGTAGCGCTCTCCTTGATCTCCTCGGCAAGCTTGAGAGCTTTGTAAGTGGCAACCGTGGTCTCCTCGGCCTTTTGAACGGCGTAATCTTCCAGCTCCTGCACGCTCTCGCCCTCCAGAGAATCGCCAGCTTTGATGCCCCTCTCGATCCGAGCCTGCGTGAATTTCCTCTGCTCGTTCTGGATGACAGCGCTGGTGGATCCATCCTCCTCAAACAAAAGCTGCCGGTTGTGGTTGTTGTTGCCTCCCATGAGATTCCTGGATCGCGGCTTCACCAAGTTACCCACGTCGTCGGACATGGTGGAGAGCTTCTCCTTGACTCTGTCCCTGCGCCTCTGCTTGGCCTCGTCACTGTGCTTGGTCGTCGCTCCATCGCTTCCGCCGTGCTCCTTGGGTGGCGATGGCGAAGCAGTAGAAGCAGCAGTAGCAGCCGGCCGGCGTGAATTCTCGTGCCTCTTGTTCCACATCCCTTCGTCGTCAAAAGGGTTGCTCTTTGGCTCTTCCTTAGACTTCCTTGGCTCTTCGTTGGACTTTTCACTAGATTTAAACGTAACCTTTCGGGGCCGCTGCTGCTGCTCAATCTCGTCGCCATCGAAAGGATTTCTATACGGCGCACTGGCAGGAGGCGGCGATGGCTCCTCCTCGGAATCGAATGGATTTCTCGCCGACAATGGCGCCATCCCGCCCCGACTTGCCCTCCTCTGCACCATTCCCTTCCCACGCGCGACGAAATTCGTTACCTGGCCGCCGTCGCCGCCGCGCGATGGAGAAGCTCGAGCGATGCCCTGCTAAGAAGGCGGAGAAGCGCGCGGAAACCCTACTACGGACGCGCATTTGACGCATTCTCGCGACGAACAGAAGATTCGCTCCTCGATTCCATCGTAGACCTCGCCTAAACCCTAAATAAGTGCCGTACACATGCACCGTACAAAGCCACGCATGTGGTGCTGGGTTCGATTCTAACGCGAGCGAGAACTAGCCGACAGGGACGGCGCCTTTGGGATGATTCGAACCTGGTGTCGCTCGCCGGCGCGTCCGTACGCCAAGTACTTCCCCTGCCGCCACTGGCCCACAAACTCTGGGACTGGTACACTTGTACGAACAAGCGAAAGTAGCGTCACATCGGAGGGCGAGGATGTGACGGGGGCAGTGGCGTGGCAGCACCTGTCAGCATCGCTACAGGTAGGCCATTTTCACCCCCTGCCAATACAACTGTTACAGCAGTAACTGGAGCGGTACACCGCAGCGCACAGCAGCACTGGCGTTTTATTTTTATTTTTTACTGGCCCGGCTGCCGCGTCAGCCCGACCAACCTGTGAGGACGGTACCTGCTCCCCGGCCTTTATGTGCAAGGGCCCTTCCGACAAGCTCGTAGGTCCCACCTCGGCAACTGACGGAATGTTCGCGGGGAGGTGTGGGGACCCTCACAGAATATGCGTTGCCCGTCGCCCCCTTCACCCTTCACCCGTGATGACAGGCATCATCGCACGCTCCATTCATCGCTTTCACTTATTTGTTTCTCTGTGCTGTGGTTTCTTTGTTGTTGGAGGGGCGGCTATGGCGATCCCCAGGGTTTGCAGGAGGTGAGCGTGAGAGGCTTGGTGGCGCGATTGGGAGGGGCGAAGCCACGGCGCCGAGCTAGCGGGCGGAAATTTTGGATTGTTTGATCAGTCCGAGGCAAGTTCTTAGGTCGCTAGAATCGTTGCTCCTCGTCGCGGCATGGGATTTGGCTTAGATCGCCATGGTTCTAGCTAGACCAGGTCAAAATTTCTGGAAAGGGGAGCCGGGCTGCCTGCGTTGCTGCTAGGAAAATGTGGCACCAGTTCGATAAGATTTCTCGATTCGTCGGCTATGATTTGAGCGGTTTCTAGGAGGTAAGAGTAATTTCTAAAGATCTAGAGGCCTTTGTTCCGAGTCTTAGTCTCGTGCTCTTGAACCTTTTGACAGGAAGAAGAGCGTAGAAGCCCTTTGAGATGCACACTGCGACTGTGCAAGGAGGGGGAGCGCCATCAAAGTCCACTTCAAGCCCCTCGCAACCAAAGCTCGATGCTTCGCAAAATGCCGGGGGCTCGCTCACACCCAACAAGAGCAAGAAGAGGGAGAGAATTGAGAGCTCCAACGAGGCAAACAAGCGAGAAAGGTCCGTAAATCTGGAGGATGGTGACTCCAAGAGCGATCAAACCGTAGAGGAGTTTGGTGGCATTGACAAGGATGGCCTTACAAGTGTTGCCGGTGTTGAAAAGCTCGTCACCGCCATGCAGCAGGACCGAAGTGACGGGTCGAAGAAACCGGCTTACTGCGCCAACAAAAGGACTGTCCTTTCAGCAGCCATTCTCGCGACTGAGAACCACGAGTACTTGGACCGATTTGTGCAGCTGGGAGGGGTGGCTTTGTTTCACGAGTGGCTCCAGGAAGCTTACAAGGGGAAGAGCGGTGACGGGGAAAGTCCGAGAGAGGCGATCAAGGGTGTTGAGGAGCTGCTGCTGACGATACTGTCGGCGCTGGAGAAGCTGCCCGTGGATTTGCAGGCTCTCAGGTGTCAGGTTGGTAAGTCCGTCAACAATCTCAAGAGCCACAAGAACCTGGAAATCAAGGAGAAAGCACGAAAGCTGGTGGAAACGTGGAAGAAGCGTGTTGGGGATGAGATGAACTCGTCAGGTGGTGCAAAGGCTGCAGGACACGGCAGCGCATGGTCCACAACTTTGAAAAATCCCATGAATGTCAGTCCCTCGGACGTCGCCAGCCAAACAGCAGGTCAGAGTGTGAGCCTATGGTGCTGTTTCTGATGTGATTTTTGATGTTTCAAACAGGAGCGAATGGTGCTTCCGTCACAAAGCTCAAATCGGAGAAAGGAACCAATCAGCCGCAGCACAGCAATGGTCAGCCATATAACAATGCCATTGCGGGTTCTATCACTTGGAAGGACGACGCGAAATCATCTTCCGGTTCTAAATCCAACAGTTCCAACCATCGCCACAACAAAGGCTCCGCAACGAAAGAAACTACTGTGGGTAAGCCGCTTACTTGGGCCAGGGAAAAAGGAGAGCCGGAGCCCAGCACCAAAGTGGTTTTGAGGCTACCGAGGTCATCTTCCCTCGGTGCCAACGAGGAAGTTTTTGGACCAGGAAGTCAGGGATCTTCGCCGAGCCTTCCTGACCAGACGGCGGTTTCGAGCATTGCGGAGGCACCGGATGTAAGGCAGAGACTTCACGGGCCTAATGACGGGAAAGAGGACGTAGAAAACAATCAAGCAGGTGCTGAAAACAAGTCGGAGGTGTCTCGGACGTCCGATTCAAATGACAGGGCAGCCGTCTCCATGGCTATCATTCCGGTGTCAGCGATCAGCAGAATATCAGGGGATGCAGCTGTAGGGGCCTCCGGACGGAGTACTATAATGTCGGAGATAGGCACGGTAGATCAGGAGGTGGCTGGATCTACTGCGGACCGGATTAGTGTTGAGAACCACCATGTACCATCGGAATCGAAGGAGGAAGCAAGACGGAAAGATGCACACGACGGTGTTGACGGAGCCAACTGCGCGTCAAGTTCCTCTTTTACGGAAATGTCAGTCGACCTCAAGGGCCAAGGCGATGAGGCAAGGGATGCAATGAGCTCAGCTGTGGATGAAAGTCACGTTGGTGAAAATGCGAGGCCTAGGCAGGAGTTGGAGGGCCTGGGCGAAAGTCCTGAGCCGCGGTGTAATACCTCTCAAACGCTCAGGAGACCCGATGACCATACTAAGCCGGCAGATACTTACCTTCAAAGTGAAAAGAGGGATACTCCGAGTCCGAATGGTGCCGTTAGTGGGAGGGGAAGCTATGAAGGCGGTCCTGGACGAGGGCTGGAATCCTGGGCTGAGAAGAGGAACAGTTTCTTCCTTGGGAAGAACTCAAGCTCTGAAGAGTCGAGAAAGAATGCTGCTGAGCAGGGAAAAGGGACGTCGCAACAAGACACTAAGATTGTGGAGTCGACGTCAGAGTTTGAAGATGATGCTCTTGAGGTGGCGCAGCAAATTGCTAAGGAGGTCGAGCAGGAAGTTGAGACATCTCATTTGTCTTCGGAGGATCGGGACGCCAAGCTTCATCTTCTCTCGACAGTGAAGGACCCCGATTCGAGTCCGCGCCATCTTCTGGAAAGGTGCTCTCTTGCTTCAGTGTCGATGCAAGAAAATCAGGAGCCGGGGGATTCTAAGGCAGCTGATGGTAATGAGGACACTACAGTTTCAGACCAGGCAGCGGGAACAGAGGCTGCAGGAGGTCACGTAGAAAGTCCAGAACATTCTCCGGAAGCTTTGAATGGTTCTACTCAAGGTGGCAACGAGAAACCAGGCCCAGCGTTGGACGCGTCAGACTTGAAGGCAGAGGAAGAAAAGCCAGCCGAAGCAGCAGGCTTGTCCAGACCCGACTTCGATCTGAACGAAGGCCTCGGAGGTGACGAAGGTTTCAAGGATGTCTCCTGTGCTCCCGTCTTGAACTTGATCGCTTCTGCCGCGCTTCCGACGACTCCGATCCCAGTTCTCCCTACAACCAAAGGCGCGTACGTTCCTCCAGAGTCTCTGAGGAAGTCCAAGTCCGAGACCGGGTGGAAAGGCTCGGCAGCGACCAGCGCTTTCCGTCCCGCCGAGCCAAGGCGAGCGAACGAAACAGTGCAGCAGCAGCATCAACAAGACGCCGGTGAAATCAAGCAAACTCGTCAGCCTCTAGACATCGACCTCAACATCGCAGATGAAAGCACAGGTTTCGAGAACTCGTTTGTGTCGAAGCCGTTTGCTGCTGTGAAAGCCAGCGCCTCGACGTCCGGGCGTGCCGACTTCGACCTCAACTGCGCCGACGACTGCGAAGATGGGAGGGGAATGGGGCTGGATATGAAAGTTCATAGCTCCGGCCAATCCAGAACCGCAGCAGCAGGAGCGGCAGAAGCTAGCACCCGCGGCATGGCACGAGACTTCGACTTAAACGGTCCGGTTGACGACGAAGAGCCATCGACGCTAGTCCAGCACATGAGCTTGCGGAGCACGGAGAACTCCAACGCCAACAACAGCGCTGCTAGCCTGGGTCCAGCGGCAGCGGTCCCTTCCGGCTTTCGGATGGGTGGCGACTTGGTTGGCGTAGCGCCGTGGTTCCCGCCAGGCAACTCCTTCTCGGCGGTGGCGATACCAGCGCTACCAATGGCCAGAGCCGCGGAGGCGAGCTACCAGGTTCCAACGCAGCCGTTTCTCAACGCTGGAGGTGGCGCGATACACTTCAACATGGATCTCTACAGGGGAGGCATGACGCTGGCCACTCCGGCGGTCGCCTATCCTGGAAGCGCTCCGGTGCCTTACCCGTATGCTGCCGCTGGCTTTCCATTCTCCAACTATTCCTTCAACGCTTCATCGTCCGCGTTCCCGGCTTCCTCGTTCGTGGAGGCTCCAGGCCCGGCTCCTCCACAGTACCAGGCGGCGGTGTCCTCGCAGATAGGTGGCGGTCCGGGTGCCATGAGTCGGTTCATAAGGCCGCATTTGATGGGGATCGCGGACGCTGGAAGAGCTGGAGATGGCGGCGGTGGTGTTGGCGTTGGCGTTGGTGGCGGAGGTGGCAGCGCGTGGACGAGGCAGAGCTTGGATCTAAACACCGGGCCGGAGGTGGTGGCGGATGATCTTAGACGGGGAGTGCCGCTGGAAGACCACTTGCGAGGATTCGGGCAAGTGGCGACGCAGGCCGGGAAGCGCAAGGAGCCGGAAAGTGGCTGCGACGCGTTCCAAGCTAACTACAAGCAGCCGGCGTGGTGTTGATGGCTTCGCTGTTGGGATCATCGGTCCAGAGAGTTCTTGGAAGTTTACTACGGAGATCCTTTTGTGATCTTTCACGACGTTCGTTTTATTCGCGAAGAGCCGACGATCACCGATCGACGTTTAACGGTACAGTTCTACACTGAGCAGCAGAGCAGTAGAAGAAGATTTGTTAAAATTGGAAGCGAGAATTCGAATGTTTTTCGTTTACCTCTCCTCTTGTACTAAAAAGCTCCCCCACACTAACTGATGAGTTGAATAAGATTATTCCAAAAGTTCTACTATACAGACAGGCATTCGTTTAGTCCAGCTTTGCGCCCGAGTAAAGGAGAGAGTCGCGAGTGAGAGGCATGTAACATAGGCAGCAAGTCTGCAAAGAAGGGAAAAGAAAGAAACAAGGATTAGAGAAAACGAAGAGAGAGTTTTTCTTTTTCTTACTCCGAGCAAAGTGGCTATGAGAAGAATGATGGTCGTCGAGGCCGCCAGAGTCCTCCGTGAAAGCTGCTCCACAGTTTGCGGCTTCTTTTCTTGCTCGAGGAGCCTGGATCTGTAAGAGTGGTAGTGCTTGCCGATCATTTCCCGTACAAGATGGTGTCCATTCTGGCCCGGGAAAGCCACGACACCGACTAGTTTTCCTGAGAGGCAATAGTTACAAAAGCTAGAGAATCTTGCTTTGTGGGGACAAACCCTTTGTCAGTGTATCCAGCTTTTGGAATAGCTTTGCCACTGCAATAAGCACGATGTCTGAAGCTTTGCTGACATCTTCGTCCTGTCGCTCCCGCTTTAGAGCCTGCAAGATACGAAAGTTTTGCGCGGTACAGTAGCACGCATTCATTCGATGGAGTTACCTTGATCCCCGTAAATGTACCGAAAAAGAGCTCTGCGGTGTCCGGCTTTGTTGTTAGCTCTTCGTGGACGGAGATGGCACGTTTCACTCCTGTTGATAGGGATAGAAGGTCTGTTACAAATAGGTAGTCCGACCTCTGAAAGAGAGCACCAATGTAAGGACCATACGAAAAGTTAAAAAAAAAAAAGGAAAGAAAGCTTTGCCTTGAAAAGATCGAGCTCGAGAGAAATGCCGTCGACTGAAAGTATCACGAGCTCCTGTTCCGCGGCATTCTCCTCGGCAGCTTCTTCTTCGACGTTATCCTCGGTTGAAACTTCTATCGAAGAAGGTCCAAACTGCAAAACCCAGCCACTCAGTTTCTTCAAACTCAGTTCCAATAGGGAACTTACAAGACCTTGAAGCTCGCGTTTCAGGTGAAAGAAGTCGAAGTTCTCCGGAACAGGATGGTTGAGAGACTCCAGTCTAACAGGCTTCCCCGCTGCGAACACATCCATCTTAGCTCAAAGATAATCGCATGAATGCGTACCCAGATGCTTTGTTGCTGCCCTTTTGGGCTTTACACTCAAACCACGATGCTCAGCCAGCTTCACTCCGAGAGCCTGAGAGACGTTCTTTTCTTGCAAGAAGCCTGTGTATAACACAAAATTCTCCTTTTAGAGCTATAAAAGCTTCGCTCGTGGCTTACCTGAATCGAAACCTTCGATCACCAGCGAAACTACTCTCTGTGGCCTGTGAAATACATTTGGAATAAGAAGCCTCTCGAGCTACAAAAAAACATCGAATAACTGGAAAGAAGAACAAAGAAGTTAAAAAACCTCCATACCTTGCTGGCGGAGACCTCGGACATCGTCACTGGAGGATCCACACCGAGAAGCACCGCGACGGATGCCGCAACATCAGCTTCCGAGAACACCGATTCCTATCAATCCAGATCCAGAAACAATCATCCAGCCGATAGAGAACGAAAGATAATTCCACACCTGGGAGCCAGACTGTAGATAATCCTTTCCCTGTCCAGTCTCCACGAAGAACACAGACCCGCCGTCCTCAGCGCTCGCACTTCCAGCAAGAATCAAGCTCGCGAGCAATGCGATCCAAGGCAGTAGCTCCAGAGCTCCCATTGTGATGCGCTCTGGCCCAGAAAACCCTAGATAGGCTGGAAATTTAGGGTTCCAACGAGCTAGGCTTAAATATGGCTAGTAGTGGAATGCGGCAGAGGAGCTCGCTCGATCGCGATGGAGCTTCCGCTTCTACTGGCGAGGCAGCTCGCGAAGAGGAGAATGGGAAGACAGTGGCGGTGCCGCCGCCGCCGCGGGGACGTCCTGGCTGGATTGGATTTCTTAGCGCTGTTGCGATCGCTGCTCTTGTGCTTCGTCTGGCGACTCCAAAACCAGTGAGTGTTTGTTTTTCCTTCTGTGGAGTTAGCGGCATTTCTCTTCGCAGAGGATTTTCACGAGTGAGAGCTTGTCCCAGTTCGATGGAGCGAGCAAGGAGCTTCCAATTTACTTGAGCATTCTGGGGTGAGAAAACTCTCGCTTTTCTTGTTTTTGTTTGGCTCACTGTGCTGATAGATGTTACAAGGTCTGTGTTTGATGTCACGAGTGGAAGACAACACTATGGCGTTGGAGGGAGCTACCATCACTTCTCTGGAAGGTCTATAGAATTCTCCTTCTTTTTTTTTCTTCCGCTAACCATATGATCATGATCAGGGACGCGACGAGAGCATTCGTTTCTGGAAACTTTACTGGTAAAATTATCTACTGATCAGTGATGGCTCTCTCATCTTTTGAGCACCAATGTTTTTCTATCGATTGATCCTTCACAGGCGATGGGCTTTCTGACAGTGTTCGTGGTCTTTCGCCAATAGAGGTCTTCATTGTTTTATTTTAAACTCTCTTCCCTCACTCAGACTGCTCTTCATATAGGTGAAAAGAATAGGAGATTGGCGAAGCTTCTATCACAACAGCTACTCGTAAGTTCTTTGTTTGTTTTCTCTGGTTGACAGATAGACTCTTTGCAGATATATTGGAAAGCTGATTGGAACGTACTACGACTCCAATGGAAAGCCAACAGACGAGCTGCTGCGCGTCGAGAAAAGGATCAAACGAGGCGAGGAGCTCTTGAAGCAGCAGGAAGCCGAGGAGAAAAAGTTCCCGACTTGCAACTCACGGTGGTCTCAAAGCGAAGGTGGAGAGGTACTCTAAACGATGATACTCCAGCGTTCCTACGTTGATTATGGTGTGCTTCAAACTCTTGCAGGTGTGGTGTGACAGTGGTTATCCTCGCATTCTCAGCAAACCATCGCCGCTTCCATCTCAAGGCTCGGGGGAATCCCGCTGTGCGTGCTTCGCAGAGAAGCAGCTCAATCGTCCGGGGCTGGCTGTCTACCCGGGCTGCGAAGCTCGAGCCACAGTGTGCAAAACTTCCTGACAATGAAGTAAGCTCGCTCTTTGTTTTTCCTCCTTTTCGTGATTGTTTCTATAGAAGAAAGCTTGCATTGTCACGGCAATGACGCAAACTTCGAGATGATGCAAAAGTTGGAAAGGAATTGCAAAGATCAAAGTTATAGTTGTTTCTCTTCCAAGTTCTCGCGAAAAGTCGAGAAAAATCAAGCTTGCTTTTTCTCCTCCACGAAGAGGTTTTATAAAGTTAAGCGCATGAAAAGAATATATGGAACATCCTTCCAGGGATATCCGCTGGCCGGGATTCGTGGCCGGGGTTTGGAGAAGGCACAATGGCGGGGGAATGAGCGTCGCCATGGTCTCCTCCTGGAGCCCTAATCCTCCTCCTCTCCTTCGCTCGTCACTCCCACATTTGCGAGCTCCGGCCGGGATCGCCCCGAGAAATCCAGCGCTCCCGATCATCGGCGCGGCCTTCTTGAATCCCTCCTCCTCCTCCTCCAATCGCCCAAAGCTCCCCGGGCGCGGCAGGGATTCCACCCGAAGGAGCCTGGTACGTCTCTACTGCTCGCGCTCCTCGCGCTGCCTCACCATAATCTGCCTCACATCGCTCGTCGCGGCGCTCGCCCGGATCGCATCGCTGCTCGTCTCCCTCGCGGACAGGATATTTAGGTCATCGCCCAGCGCCGCGCCCAGCGGGAATCTCCTCGCCAATGGATCGTCGCCGCTGGGAATGGCGCTGCTCAGCACCTCCGCCATGGCCAGCGCGCATCTCAGCCCCATGATCGTCACGCTCCGGGCGAATCCCACCTTCATGTCCGGGCTGGTGGCGTGGATGGTGGCGCAGGCGAGCAAGGTGCTCACCACCTACGTGGTGTACCGACGGTGGGATTTGAGGATGCTGGTTGGATCGGGCGGCATGCCGTCGTCCCACTCGGCTCTTTGCCTCGGGCTCACCACCTCGGTGGCGCTCTCCCATGGCGTCGGGGACGCCTTGTTCCCGGTTTGCCTCGGGTTTAGCCTCATTGTCATGTACGATGCCACGGGAGTGAGACGCCATGCCGGAATGCAAGCCGAGGTACGTCTTCTCCATCCATCCATAGCCATTTTCTCGCTGTAGTTCTGCATTGCATTGCTCTGGCCTGAGAGAATCGCGTAGATCTTTAGATCTCTAGATCATGAAGGGTTCTCGTAAATCACAGCAAAGCTTGAGGAGGGAGTTCTAGAGGCATCCTACAAGACTTTTAGAGTAGCGCTCGTTGCATTGGTCAGTTTGTAGGATCAAACACTCTTGAGCGCTAGCAGTATGTGACTCGGGCCTTGCGCTTTCTTGTGCTCCAGGTTCTCAACATGATCATCAAGGATCTCTTCCAGGGGCATCCCGTGAGCGAGAAGAAGCTCAAGGAGCTACTAGGGCACACTCCTCTCCAGGTGGTGGCGGGTGCTTTGGTGGGAATCTTGGTTGGATGGTGGTGCTGTTTAACTCCCCGTTAAACTTTAAAGCTCTTGGAGAGGAAACATTGTCCACTCCTCAGCTTACATGGCATTTCTTGTGATTGTGAGATTCTGCCAAAACAACATAGATTTGCTACAATATATTTTACATCTTGTGCCCAACAATCCAAATAACTTTTGTGTGGAGAAGAATATCAGGTGGAAAGAAGTGGCCATGGTTGGTAGCCATGACATGGACCATTTTCCACTCCATAGCTTTGTGAGATTTTGCCAAAACAACATAAATTTGCTACACTATATTTTACATCTTATGCCCAACAATACGAATAAGAGGTGGCCATGGTTGGTAGCCATGACATGGACCGCGCGCGGAAAGTCCACGCTGGCAGAGCTGCCATTGGCCCAGCGCCACAACGAGGCGCGTATTTAAACACTCTGGCAGCAATCCAGTGTGTAGTGTTCTCGCATTCGAGCTAAGGAGCGAGCGCTCTCATCTCTCTTTCCTTTCCCTTGCTTGTTTAGATCGAGCAATGGTCGCCATGACTGCCATGACTAGAAGACGATGATCCTGGTTTGCAGGACTTCCCAGAAGTAGTAGCAGTGCTAGCATTTCCAAGGCCACGACCACCATTCTCATATCCCAGGCCGCGAGCAAGGTTATCGTCGCCACCATCCCCTGACGCCACTCGCCACTCTAAAGCCGACTCGTCAAGGTAACTTCTGTTTTCGAGTTTCTAAGTCAGTCATGAGCACTGTGGTGGATTTCCTAAGCTCGGCACCGGGATGGAACGCTGCGTGCATGGTTGTGGCAGCGCTGGTCTGCGTTGTATTGGTGATGTTGGGAAGAAAAGAGAACAGGAATTTGCCCCCAGGTCCTCCCGGCTGGCCGATCATCGGAAACTTGATGCAGCTCGGTCCCCTCCCCCACAGGACAATGGCTGGCTGGTGCCAGAAGTATGGACCTCTCGTCTACTGCAGGCTTGGCTCCACTCCGACCATCACCGCTAGCTCGCCTCAGATGATCCGGGAGCTGCTGTGGACTCAGGACGAAACTTTCGCGTCTCGGCCGAGAACTACTGCGGGAAAGCTCATGGCATACCACGACCAGGACGTCGGGCTGGCCCCTTATGATGCTCACTGGAAGCTCATGAGGAGGATTTGCGTGGAGAACTTGCTGACGACACGAAGGATGGAAGGCTTCCAGAAGAGCCGGGCCGAGGAAGCTCGCGACCTGGTAGAGACAATGTTGAAGGAGGCCAAGGCTGGGAACACCATCAACATAAGGGAGCACTTGGGAGGCTTCACCATGAATGTGATAACGAGAATGCTGATTGGAAAGAGATACTTTGGAACCGAGTCCACAGGTGAGAAGGAGGCCACCGATATTCGGGAGCTCCTACACGAGGCTGTTGCCCTCATTGGTGTTTTCTTCATTCCGGATCACGTACCGCTCCTCAAGTGGATGGATCCCAAAAGTTATAGGCACCAGTTTAAGAAGATTGGGAAGCGAATGGACGACTACTACAGCTACATCATCGAGGAGCACAGGAAGAGGCAGGAAGTGGTCGATGGTCCTAAGGACTTTGTGGACGTTCTTCTCGGTGAGAACAGCGAGCTCAACGACGTGGAAATCAAAGCACTGATACAGGTAACTAAGAGGTCTCTCCTTGTTCCTTTGTATCGTAAATTTTTCTCTCAGGATATGGTCGTGGGGGGCACCGATACCGCGTCCTTCACTATGGAGTGGTTTATGCTCGAGATGATCCGGAACCCGAAAGTTATGCGCAAAGTCCAGAAGGAGATAGACTCGGTGCTGGAAAAGAAAGCCACCAACAAACACTTAGTGGAAGAGTCGGATCTAGCGAGCCTCGACTACCTGAAAGCAGCTGTCAAGGAAACTTTCAGGATGCACCCGGTTGGCGGCTTCCTCATACCTCACGAGTCGATCCGGGACACCAACGTTGCCGGCTACCACGTCCCCAAAGGCTCGCTCATCCTCATCAACACTCACGGGCTGGGAAGGAACAGCGCGGTGTGGGACAACGTCGACGAGTTCCGGCCCGAGAGGTTCCTCAGGACCGACGATAAAGTCCACCTCCGCGACTCCGAGTATCGCGTCATTCCATTTGGCTCCGGCAAGCGGGCGTGCCCCGGTGCCCAACTCGGGCAGTCGATGCTCCTCCTCGGCCTGGGACGACTTTTTCATGGATTCGACTGGTATCCACCGCCGGGAATGAGCACGGGAGACATTGACGTTATGGAAGCTTACGGCCTCACGACGCCGCCGAGGACTCCGTTGCGAGCAGTGGCAAAAGCTCGGCTGGATGAGAGCTTCTACTGTCTCCATTAATCTCTCTCTTTCTGGCAAGATCAAGTATATGCTTTGTTTTGTTTTGAAGCAATGGTTGATTAGCAAGGGTTTTGACTGATGACAGTCTTTCAGCAACTGGGCAAGCATGCTTGGCTCAAGGAAGTGGTTGTGGTGGATGGGGACAGATTAAGATGGCGAGGAATAGTCAAAGCAGATCAAGCTAACTCTTGACTTATAGGTGTGCAAGGACCCTTGTGGACTCCATCGTGGATATTAGGTCGCTGTGCCAACGACAGAAATCTCCATGTTGTAAGGCCGAGACACCATGATTATCTCGAAATATCACAGAATTTTAACATTAAATTAGACCTGTTTAATCCTACAAATATTCCCTACTCAAAACTTCTAGTTAACTTCCATTTCCAGATTCCAAGTCAAGAGCATGATGGTGGATTTCCTGAGCTCGGTTGAGGGATGGAACGTACATGCTTGTGGCAGCTCTGTGTTTTCTCGGTGATGCTGGGAAGAAAAGAGAAAAGGAAGTTACCCTCAGGTCCTCCCGGCTGGCCGATCCTTGGGAACTTAATGCAGACCCCCACAGGACAATGGCTGGCTGGTGCCAAAAGTAGGGACCTCTCGTCTACTGCAGGCTTGGCTCCACTTGCTAGCTGGACTCAGGACGATACTTTCTCGTCTCGGCCGAGAACTACTGCAGGAATGCTCATGTCATACCACGACCAGGACGTCAGGCTGGCCCCTTACGACGCTCACTGGAAGCTCGTGAGAAGGATTTGCGTGGAGCACTTGCTGACGACGTGAAGGATGGAAGGAGGCGGCCGGGTACAGACAATGTTGAACGAGGCCAAGGCTGGGAACACCATCAACATGAGAGAGCACTTCGAGCATGAGGATGCTGGTTGGAAAAGGTACTTTGGAAGCGGTGAGAAGGATCCTACATGGAGTTTTCTACATAAACGTGGTGTCCCTATGCTTGAGTGAAGGGAGCCTCTCTCCCTCACATTGGTGGCCTCAATTTAACCTAGCACTCTATGGGCTCAAAGTCAAGTTACAGAAATTCTTTTGTGTTTTACAACTTTTGTATTCCTTTTCTTTCTATTCTTTATATATGTCAAAAGGAAAAGATACGTATTTTAATCACATGACTTGTGTTTTTCAGTTTGCCATTCAGCTAAAAAAAATATATTGATGACATAAAAGCAGTCGGCTGAAAAGCACCATTGAGTTTCTATCATCACAAACAATGACGAAACAATGGTTGTCGTACCTTTGAGCTCACGAGTTGAGCTCTGTACTCAAACTAAACTTAAATCTAAACCTTGGGCTCAAGTGGTTCGAGGGCTGAAGATGTTGGAGCTAAGTTGGTTTAAAATTGAACTGGTTTTGGCCAAGTTGGTATCCATTTCCGAGTCCAGGTGAGGTTGCACAATGGCCACCTCAGGCAAAAAGAGGGGTGGAGTGGTTTCTTTTTGTAAATTGGATTCTTTGGCTCGCACCAAAGTTTCTTGGTTTGTTTGAACTAAGTATTGAGTAGGAAAATCTAGTTTGCACACCCATACTCATGAAACTTTAAAAAGCTAGAAAGTGTGTGGTTCTAAACCTCCATCTGCTGTTATACGCAGATGACTTACAAAGAAAAAACTACAGAAGCAGCTTCTGCCAAACAACATGACTATCCATCAGAGCAAATAGATCGTGATCTTCGAGTCCAAAGCTGTGATAGCACCACCCAGTTATCGAGGACAGGAAGTCACCACCTACAAATACTTAGGGTACCGCCAACGCACATGGACGACTGGACTTATACAGCGGGAAGCAGTAGCAAATTGGGCATACTAATCAATATGCTCCGACAAAACGGTATCTACTGATGGGACGCCCGAAAAGAGCACCCAACCAATCTGCCACCAGTTGGTCCTGGCTGGAAGATTTGAACCACACTTTCATCAGCCACAGACTTTAGCATCCAGGAAAGAGCATCATATGGACTCCTCTGCATCAAAATTAAATTTAATCCAAGCATGGAAACTCACCATACTTTCACTTCTTCAACCATTGTATACGAGCAACAAACTACAGATGGTGGAAGGACTGCCAACAATGGATGAAGAGATTATAACTCAACTTTGAGTTGCTCCTGGGACAATTGGTGACAAAAGTCCCCCAAGCATGGATCAGCCTCAAAGGTTGGCAAGTAGGATCCAACAAGAACCCCAGGTTCCAAGACTACTTACATGATGTCAAATCCAAGTTGGAAGTCCACAACACCACTGGCTACACCACCAGATGCACGCTTGCCAAATACAGAATGAGTGCGCATTCCCTCCACATAGAGCTTGGACGTCAAAGAACACCAATCACCCCTAGAGACTAGCGTTGGTGTCACCTCTGCCGATTGGGGACAAAGATGTGATTTATGAGTGTCCAGCATACATACGTCTTGCTGAACTTCACGGCTCCAAACCTCCCAGAACTCATCGGAAACCCGGACTCGGCAGCTATGGCGGCACTCTTCCTGCTATATTAGGTGATAAAATTCCTTGCATTGAGCGCTAGACGAAAGGCAGACAACTCCTGGCTATAACATCCTGGACGAGCCTCATGACTGAATCAAGAGACAAACAGCAAGGACAATGATCTACATTGAATTACATTGCACTGCATTGCATCGCAACACAGCATGGAATGAGCATAGTCCCCCCCCCTCTCTCTCTCGCTGTCTCTGTAAACTACATAACAATAGAATTAAGAAAAGTAAAGCCAGATTGCTTTAACTAATGTGTTCATGTGGCACCCTAAAGAAGGCTTTTCCACGTCAGCTAACAGCGTGCGATGTCATCAGTTACCAATTTGTCTGTTCGACGTAAGAGTAAAAAGGCTGTGGCCACGAAGATAGAGCATAGCCTCCATACTAAAACACTAGAAGAAAAGAAGAGTTTCTTCGAGATCTTACTCTGAACTTGCAGAGATCAATCCGCATAAGTTGATCCTCTCACTGTCATCACAGGTAAAGTAAGCGAAAGAGGGATAGTTTTGAAGGCCAAAAGGTAGCGGGAAATTCCTATTTAGGGTTCTTGAAATCTGATTGCTCGATCGCGCATTTCCCTCTCTTCACACAAAATATCCAAACCCTAATCCTATAAACCCTAGACAATATGTTTACAATAATGAGATTGGACAATCACGCTTTATCATTCGGCAGCAATGATGACATGGCACTTGACATGGAAATTCGTGCCACGCAGCCCTATTTATGTATATGATATGCTTTTTATGGTGATCCGTTGAACTCCATATCATATTCGTTGCCAGGGCCTTATCACCTTCCCGTGGAGAAAAATATCGGCTAGAAAGAAGTGGCCATGGTTGGGCCGTGGAGATTACAGGGATAGCCACTGCCAGCGTATGACATGGACCGAGCGGCAAGCCCATGCCGGCAATGACATGGCACACGTGGACACGAGAGAGGCAACCAGTTGGGCTCGCGAGCTGGACCCACAGCACGGTGCAATTGGCTGGAAGGCGTCCAGCTCATCCGAATTTCGATAATGTCATCGGCTGGAAATCGTCCACCTCGGCCAGAATCCAATTGTCACCCCCCATTGGCCCGGAGGCGCCACGACGGGATAAGGTAAGGCGCGCATTTAAACACTACACTGGGAGTGTTGGGGCAGCAGTCCAGTGTGTAGTGAGTGAGCATTCGAGCAGACCTCTTCTCTTCCCCTTTGGTTGCTTAGATCGATCGAGCAATGGCCGCCATGACTGCCACCGCCACAATGGCCGCTCCATCCACATTCGCCGGCCAGACCGGTCTCAAGCCCCAGAACGAGTTCGTCGCCCGCAACGCTAGCAATGGCTCCCGGGTCGCGATGCGCAAGACCGGCAGGGCTTCCTCGGTGGGAGGAGGCAGCCCCTGGTATGGCCCCGACCGCGTCAAGTACCTCGGCCCCTTCAGCGGCGAGTCCCCCTCCTACCTCACCGGCGAGTACCCGGGCGACTACGGCTGGGACACCGCCGGGCTCTCGGCCGACCCAGAGACCTTCGCCAAGAACAGGGAGCTCGAGGTGATCCACTCCCGCTGGGCGATGCTGGGCGCGCTGGGATGCGTCTTCCCGGAGCTCCTCTCCAAGAACGGCATCAAATTCGGCGAGGCGGTGTGGTTCAAGGCCGGCTCCCAGATCTTCAAGGAGGGCGGCCTCGACTACCTGGGCAACCCTAGCCTCGTCCACGCCCAGTCCATCCTCGCCATCTGGGCGTCCCAGGTCATCCTCATGGGCGCCGTGGAGGGCTACCGCATCGCCGGAGGGCCGTTGGGCGAGGTGACGGACCCGATCTACCCAGGTGGCAGCTTCGACCCCCTTGGATTGGCCGAGGATCCCGAGGCGTTTGCGGAGCTCAAGGTGAAGGAGCTCAAGAATGGACGGCTGGCGATGTTCTCCATGTTTGGCTTCTTTGTCCAGGCCATCGTCACCGGTAAGGGCCCCCTCGAGAACTTGTCCGACCACCTGGCAGATCCAGTGGCTAACAATGCCTGGGCATATGCCACCAACTTCACCCCCGGGTCTTAGAGATTCCCAGGGCATCTCTCCAGGGCATGGTGGGCGCGAAGAGGCGAATCAAATCGATCGGGTGAATGATACCACACTCCAACCACAAAAAAAAAAAAAATGTTCTAAGGTTTTTTTTTCTTTTGGGTGTCTCTACTACGCTATGAATTCCAAATGAATTCTTTTTGTACATGGAAGGGGGGGGAAAGATCCATCTATGCCCTGGTTTGCTGTATTATAAAGATTGATTTTAATAAAACAAAGGAACGCTGTTCCTCCTTTTTTAAAACAAATTTAAATTGAGGGTATATTCTCGATATTCGTTTTATTTGGGTTTCTCTCTAGAACCCTATTTCTTTGCTAAAGCCCTTGTAGCGAGGCGGAGTGTGAGCGATGGCGCTTATTTGCGGTCGGGACTGGTATGTCGATAATGTGCTTGTCATGGTCGGGATTCTTGAAATTTCTGATATTTGCTTCGTCTTGATGCTTGAAACGTGCCAGGGATGGCTCGAATGCCATGAAAATCTTGCTGCATCTAGCCCCCGTTTTGCTACAGCTCTCATTCTAGGAGAATCTAGGCGCCCTGGGATTCATCATGCCAGTATTCAGCGCGTCCGCGTTGGTTTCACCCAGCGCATTCTCGACCTCGCGCTGGCTTTCTGCGAATATCGTGGCTAGCAGCTCCGAAAGGAAGAATGTGAAATCTTTCGCCAAGAAGACTTTGCAAGGTGATTCAGTCGTGATTGAGATCGCTGATAAAAAGCGATTGGATCGTTTTGGAGAAAGACACGAGAAGACCAGACAAGAAACACAGTACAAGGCTGGCGATTCTCGGAAGTTTAAAGGAACAGCTGATCCAAAGGAATCGACCAAAGAGGAGGTTTCGTCAGGGTATGTTCCGCTTCCAAGCAGGGGTGACAAGTTTTTGGAGGAGCAGAAAGTCAGAGACCAAGCTCTGGTAGAGAAACAGGCAGCGAAGCGTGAAAAGAAGAAGGGGAAGTCACAGGTGGTCAAGCTAAAATCTCTCGAGCCTTGCTGCTATGGTTGCGGTGCAGTTCTCCAGTATACGCAAGAAAACTCTCCTGGATACATCAATGCCGAGACGTATGAATTGGTAAGTTCCTTTTTCTGGTTACACGTTGATAGTAACAGTTCACGTTCTCTATGCAGAAAAAGAAGCACCATCAGCTAAAATCTGTGCTCTGTAGCAGATGCCAACTGATGTGCCATGGAAAGCTTATACCTGCCGTCGGTGGCTACGGCATCTATGGACGCGAGAAAGGTTTTGTGACGGCGGAGGAATTGCGTGCGCAATTGGCACATATACGCGAGGAAAGAGTATTGGTGTTGAAACTCGTAAGTTGATTGTAATTCAGTGTTTTCTGCATCAATATGAAGTCTTTGTTTGCAGGTTGACATTGTCGATTTCAGTGGCAGTTTTCTTACCCGTATTCGTGATCTCGTTGGGAACAATCCAATTGTTTTGGTGGCGACCAAGGTTCTGTTTCTGTATACATTTCAAAGCTTCTTGTGAATGCATGACTGCAGGTCGATCTTCTTCCTGAAGGTACAGACTTGGCAGCTGTTGGCGACTGGATTGTAGAGTCTACACAACGAAAGAAACTGAAGTAACCAATGCGCCTTTTCTACAGCCTGTTTTCTGATGTCGCTCTACTGCTTGTAGTGTAATCAGTGTGCATTTGACGAGCGCGAAGTACTTCATGGGCATTACAAATATTGTCAAAGAGATTCACCGCGAAAGACAGGTCTGTTTTTTATTCGTTGGCATTATGACTCATGTTGAAAATTATGTTTTCAGGGACGTGATGTCTATATACTGGTACGCGGGTTTTGAAGTTTTGATTTATTGTGATTATATGTTTTTATTCCAGGGAGCAGCCAACGTCGGTAAATCCGCATTCATCAGCTCTCTGCTCAGTAAGCTATTCACGTGCACATAATTGAAGAAACGTTCTTGTCTGTCTGTTTTGCAGAGGAAATGGCCGCTAGAGATCCAATTGCAGCGGTAGCAAGGAAACGCAAGCCAGTTCAGTCAGTTTTACCTGGCACTACAGTCGGCCCCATCTCAATCGATGCTTTTGCTAGTGGAGGGGTATGCATTTGATATTTTCTTGTTGTCTAAGTTGATCTTCTGCTTAGAGCATGTACGATACTCCTGGGGTTCACCTTCACCACCGTATTGAGACTGCTATCTCCCCAGACGATCTTCCATCACTTTTTCCAGCTCGTCGTCTTCGGGGCTATGTAGTCTCACCCATTCTTGAACGGAAGGGCCCCGAGTCCATATTTTCAGAAGCTCTGAAGCAAGCGGAGAAGGACGAGGTGATATCGAACGTGCAGGACCTTACCGGCACTACTATGTTCTGGGGAGGCATCGCAAGGATCGATGTCTTGAAGGTAAATGAATTGGTCTTTTGACAGCTTGTAATCAGAATCGTGTATACAGGCTCCTCAAAACACCCGGTTGACGTTCTATGCCTCAGCAGCACTGCGGGTACACAAAGTCCTCACGTCCGAAGCTGACGAGTTCTATAAAGTAAGTTCTTGTTTTCTCAAACTTGTACAGTCTGACCATTTCTCCGCAGAGAGAACTTGGAAAGACTCTAGTCCCACCATCCGATGAGAGAGCTTCGGCATGGCCCGGTTTAGATCACCGAAACAAGTTCACTTTCGATTACGATGACACCAGGTATGCAGCCTCTGTTCAACTCTCTTTTCTTTTCCTTATCGTATATATCCTCGCAGACCTGTCGGAGACATTGCGATATCGGGTCTCGGCTGGATGAAAATGGAGTTCCTCCAAACGGAAAGTGGAGTTGAAGACTGCTTGGAACTGGAGGTTTATGTCCCCCGGGGAATTGAGGTTTTCCGTCGGCCGGCTATTCCAGTGGGTGCCAACACGCACTCATGGTACTCGTTCTCAGAGTTGACGGCGGAGCAGGAGAAAACGAGGCCGAGGCTCTACTACAGTGAACACAGGGGATTGTAGTTTGCAGTTAGTGCTTGCGGCGATACAGTGTAGCGACAAACATTCCGCTCAGAAGAGTTCCCAGCAACCAGGATTCCTGTGAAGTGTTATCTGGTCCCGAAGTCCGACGTGTCCTTGGATGGACTCTCCAGACAAGCAGCCTCATCCAAGAGCACGTCACACCTCCACGCGAGTTCCTCATGCTGTCCAACGCGAAGAAGAGCAACGAAGAGCAAAGAAGAGGAGCAAGGAGCAATTACGCACAGAAAGTCTCATGCTTCGCCGAGAAGCGTTTGTTCTTCGTGAAACCAGTTATGGCCAGATAGCAGCAGCATCGCTTTCGTGGATCCAATCTCTCGGGAGGTAAGAGACGATTCCATCTGAGAACTCATCTGTTGAATATTCTGTAGCAGATGCTCAGTCGCCAATATATTTACTCGGGAATTCTCTACAGCTTTGGTGCCTAGAGATCCATCTCCGGAGATTTCCATGTCGTCGCTTCAGCGAGCACGAGCTCTGCCCAGCTCCGAATTCCTGCAACAGAAGGATCGTGCTTCCAATTACTGTGTGGAGAAGCCTCAGAATGCAGCCGCTATCTTGAGGAAGAAGATCTTTTGTTCTCAGCAAGTTCAGCAAGTGGGTATCCGTCTTGTGCTCTTTAGAATTTTGCTAAGGTTTTCTCTGCTCAGACGAGGCTGGCACCCGCGGAAAGAATCAAGCAGGGTTTCCAGAGATTCAAGCAAGAGACATACAAGTAAGCTATCAATTCAATTCTTCCGTTTCACTGCTGCTACTTGACCAGCCAAAAACCAGAGCTCTTCAGCCAATTGGCCACAGGACAACATCCCAAGGTCAGCACGTTTGATCGATGTCGATCAATGTTGTGTCCTCAATTACGGTGCTTTTTTCTTGAATTTTTTTTTTCTTTTTTGGTTTCCAGTTCATGGTGATCGCTTGCTCCGATTCTAGAGTTTGTCCCACAACAATTCTGAGGTTCCAGCCAGGGGAAGCATTTGTCGTTCGCAACATTGCAAACATGGTGCCTCCTCCGGAACAGGTATCTACTGGTTTAGAAACGTTTTTGAGCTCACCAAAAACGTTAAGTTCACAGGCTGGCTATCCAGGAACGAGTGCAGCTCTTGAATACGCAGTCACGGCTCTCAAGGTAAACCAAAGGTTTGGATCTTTTTTCGTGTTTTAGCTGAAGAAACGTCTCTCCAGGTCGAGAACATTTTGGTGATCGGACATAGTAGATGCGGTGGCATCAAGGCTCTCATGACACAAAAAGAAAACACAAACAAATGGAGGTGAGTCTCACATTCGCGTGACGAGAGAGTATCCACCTTGCCTTTTCTTACAGTTCGTTCATTGAGGACTGGGTCGAAATCGGACGTCCAGCTCGTGCCGTGACGCTCGCCGCAGCAGCCCAGCAGCAAGTTGAGCACCAATGTACAAAATGCGAGAAGGCAAGTGACAAGAACTTTGTCCAAACTTTCAAGCTAAAACAAGTTTGGTCCTTGCAGGAATCCGTAAATGTGTCGCTGGCAAACCTTCTTGCCTTCCCTTTCATCAAGGAAGCGGTCTCCAGCGGCACGCTTGCTCTCCATGGCGGCTACTACAACTTTGTGGAGGGCTCGTTCGAGTACTGGTGGTACGGAATTGACGGGAAGAGCCAGGTGTCCAAGTTCTAGATGTCCTGGAGGTTAGTTTGTTATTTGATTGATCGATTGGAAGCGTGATCATCGTCACTCCTGCTTGGAAAGCCATTCTGCCCTCCATTCCAAAGGGGATATCAAGACGTGATCGACTTTCCAGCCACATTCTTGCATCTACAATGAAAGAGAATAAGAAACGATTGTGATGATTTTAACTGCTTACCAGGGCATAGAGCTTGTGAAAGTTCTCTCCCATCCATTTGGAGCACAGATCTTCGTCCGCGCTCTTGTGCTTGAGAAGAAGAGCGTGAGTGTAGGCACGCAAGTAATCCTTGGACGTTGCTGTGTGGTGTAGAACCACCTGGATGGAATTTCTTTGGCAGACTAGTAGATACTTTCCTGCAGATAAAAAGTTACTTACAAACTAAAACAAACTATGGACGCACCTGTTCCATATCTCTCGATAGCCGAAGAACACGCTTCCCACCTGTGCAATGTAAACTCACGGCTCTTTGCAACGTTACAAGGATATCCAAAACTCGTCACCTTCCATCCTCGCACAAGGACGAGATTTTCGCACCAAAGATAATGCCATTTCTGGACGTGAAAGGCTTCGGCAGTGCACTCTCCTGGGCCGATGCTTCTTCCGGGGAAGGAGCTGCGACGGCACAAAGAAAGAAAACACTGAGCATTGACGAATACATATCCTCACGCACCTTTTCCATCTTTGAGAAAACTTTGTAGAACAATCGCCATTCTTTCAGCGTTGATGCTTGTAAGGCACAGAGCACACACCGCCTTGTAGTTTGCTGCGAACAGAGAGTCCATAAGAGCACGTATTTTTCGTTGTGTGGAGAGCACTTACCATACACGTGGAACGCTGTCAGTGACATGAAAGAGGTCCACATTAAAACAATGTTGTTTGCAGTCAATCGCGCAAGAAACATCCCCACGATCATCCCGACGAGCGTTGCTGCGGTCTCTTGGCTGCCTTCCTGCTCAAAGAAACTTCGAGTTTTAGGCTGGGATATGCTTAGATATCACGAATTACCTTTGCTGAAACGTCGGCAGCATTTTGCTTCCTGGCGAAGTGTTGCGTCAGAGCGGCTCTCGTAGCTCCACCGGCCACACCAGCTGATTCAAACGCAGAACTTTAATCCTGGAGTCGACATCGTTAGAGGCGGTTTTCATTCTTACTCACTGCTCTTGCGGCGCTCCCTAGGCAAAGAAAGAACATGAAAGCCCTGGGAAACAAAGGAGAAACCAGGTCCATGAGCATTCCTGTGTTTTAACGTTTTTTCTTTTAGAAATCATGTGAATGGAAAAGCTGTCCGGTTTAAGTTAGAGAAGCTCCTTACCTATGTCGTTCATGAAGTCAGCAGCTAGACGCCACTGCTTCGCTCGATTGTCCAGATTAGAGCCCTGCAAAAACATCCAGTTCGTAAAATAGAGTAAAAGAGTGAGTCTACTCACTTGGTATAGAGTGAACACTATGCCTCCCACCATCCCAGTTAGATCGCGCAAAAACCACTGCCAGTTAAAACAATCAGAATTTGCAAAGCAAGGAAGAAACAAAGATCCAAGTACCTGAAACGTTGCCCCTATCGCAGTTGCTGTCGCAGCTCCAACTCCAATGCCACTGAGAAGAGCCTGAAAAATCCGTGTAAGAACTCGATTCATACATTTCGTCCAAGCGATCACCTGAGTGGATAACATGCTTCGTATGTAAGTTGACAGACCCTGGGAAGAAAATCCACACAAACAATGTAAAAACTCCACGAATCCAGTGAAGAAAAGAAATACCTGTAGCGTGTCCCAGGTCTGGAAGGCCAAGTAATCCGAGCTCACGCTGCTTGGATAGCCCTGCAAGAGAGAGAGAAAAAAAAGAAAGATTCTTTACAATGGAAGGATCGTCAAATCGGGAAATGTGACCTCTGGCAAAAACGCGAGCACGATCCAAGTCCACGGAGCAATCCTCCTGGTCTTCTCCCTGCGAAAACCAAGCTTAGATTCTAGCCAAGCTGAAATTCTCGAGATTTTAAGCTAAGAATGCGCTCGATCGATTACCTCCGGACGCGAATCTGGGAGGATTTGGATGCGCTGCCGCCGCTGTTCCTGCGTTGGAGGATCGTGGCAGTGCGCTCTCCACCATGGCCCGCCCGGCACTCGACGACCAACGCCATTTCTTCTCCTCCTTCCATAGCTCTGTTTTTAGGTCTACCATAAGCCCTAATTTTCAGTGGCGTGCTCGCGGCTATGGCGGGGTTTCTTCGTTCGATGATCCAGGTGCTGCCGATCTTCTTCTTCCTCGTACTCCAGCACTCCCAGGCCATTCGATTCGATATCGCCCCAGCTGGGACCAAGTGCGTCTCGGAGGATCTGCAGACGAACACTCTGGTTCTCGCGAATTACCACATCGTCAAGGCGGATCTCCCGCACGGTAGCAATCCCAAGATCAACGCAAGGGTATGGATCGATTCTCTCCTGTTAACTCTGGTTTGTGTTGTTGACCCCGTCATGCAAGGCTTCCAGCGATTTCTCTCTTGCTTTTCCTGGACGGATTTCTTGAGTGTTTCTTCTGTTCTTTGTGCTTTGTTTGGCTTGGAATTTTTTCTTGGATGGAGAGAATAACTTTGGTTTTCTTACTCCCATTTTTTTGATTTGGTTTGGAATTTTTTGGATGGTATAAAGCTTGTCGCGCTCTAACTTTTCTCCTCAAGATCTTCATGAAAATCTTGAGGTTCTCTTGGTTTATCTTCGTGTTGTCTAAAGTTCTAACTTTTCGTTTGCATTTTCTTCTCTCAGTTAACTTCTCCCTATGGTACAACTTTACACTTCGCGGAGAACAAAGACGAAGGCCAGTTTGGCTTCACGACGACCGAGGCCGGGAACTACATGGCTTGCTTCTGGATGCACTCCCACGCCGACAATGTCCCAGCAAGCATCGAGCTCGACTGGAAGTTTGGAGTCGCAGCGAAAGATTGGGCCAGCATTGCCAAGAAAGAAAAACTCGAGGTAAATGCTTGGCTCCGCTGTGTTTCTCCTCCTCACTAAGAACAACAACAACAGGGACTGGAGCTGGAACTTCGGAGGCTCGAAGACGTCGTTGATTCGATCCGGGAGGAGATGTACTACCTGCGAGACAAGTAATCTCTTCTTCGTTCTTTCAGAGCTGGGTGATCTCACAACGTCGAGCTGTGAATCCTTGCAGGGAAGCCGAGATGCGCGGCGTGAACGAGACTACGAACGCTCGAGTGGCATGGTTTAGCATCATGTCGCTCTTCCTGTGCCTCATGGTAGCGGCGTGGCAGCTGTGGCACCTCAAATCCTACTTCGAGAGGAAAAAAATCCTCTAGACAAATTTTTTGTGTAAGAACAAAAGCTCCCATTCTGTGTAACACTTTTTTCGGCTTTAACCCCTTTTTAAGCTCTTGTTTTTATAGGGTTCTTGGCCTTAGATTTAGGGTTCTTGGTGGATTTCTTCTTCCTCTAGGCGGTGTTGGATCAGTTGTCTCGGCCTCCATCCCACGACGCGGTGGTCGATTGGAATGCTATTCGCTCTACACACCCGCGCGAGAGCATCGTAGGCCCATGGCGATGGCTCCAGCCGGTCGGATTCCACCATGGCCACGTACGCCGCCATGGCCTCCCGCCACCGATTCCCCGCAGCCAGCGCCTCCACCAGCTTGTTATACGTAATGGAATTGGGCTCGATCCCCGCCGCCTCGAGCCTGCGCATCCATTCCACCGCCCCCGCCGCGTCGCCGCCGCGCGCGCACACCGTGATGATGGCATTGTAGCTCGCCAGCCCCATGGCCACTCCTTGCGATTGCATCTCCTCCACGATCCTGGGAATGGCGGCGGCGGCGCCACCGCCGGCCTTGCCGTGCGCCGCGATGAGCGTCGTGTAGATCGATTCGATCGGCCTCACGCCGCTCCTCCGCATGCTCTCCAGGACCAGCTCCATGTCCCGGATCGAGACCAATCGCCCCTTCTCGATCGAACTGAGCAGCGATCCAAAGGATCGCGCGTCGGGCGCGTGGCCCGCCCGGATCATCCGCGCGAAGAGCTCCAGCGTCTCTTTGCTCCGCCCGGCGCGAGCGCACGCCACCATCGCTACGTCCCACGCCTCCTTCCCGGGCTCTAGCCCCTTGTCCTCCATCTTGCCCAGGAGCATCAAGCTCCACCTCCACGAGTTCTTCTTCCTCTTGGCGGCGCGGAGGAGGAAGGAGAATTGCTCGCGGATGAGCTTGCGGGTGAGATCGTTGGGCGGGCAGCCCGCCTCCGCCATGGTCTCGAAGATCTCCAGCGCCGCCCACCACTTGCCGTGCTCGCCCAGGGCCTGGATGCTGTGGTTGCACAGCGCGGTGGTGAGCATCCGGCGGCGGCGCATGAAGGCGTAGAGCGCGCGGAGGAGGACGTGATCGTTGGCGGCGCCGCCGCATTGGAGGAGTAAGCGGCGGCACTGGAACTTGGAGATTGGGAGGCGCGCGTACTGCATCTTGAGGAAGAGCTTCTCGAGAACGTAGCGGTTCTCACCGCCTGCCAATCCGCTGGCCAGCGCCGCCAGGCAGAGCTCCAGCACCGCCACGCCCATCTCCTCGATCGAATTCCACGTCTCGGCGAGGCGATCCCCGGGTGGAGGAGGCGCCAACTCTCGATCACTGCCGTCTGGAGGGATCCCTGTGGATTCCACGCCCAGGAATTGCTGGCGCGCGCGCCAGTAGAGCTTGAGCGCGCTCTTGGCATCGCTGCTTCTCTGGATGAGATTTCTGTACGCTGGTAGATCCAATTCCTTCTCTGCTGGATCATCGCGATCCAGATGCCCAAGCTCAAGAACCCTAGGCAGCGAGAATCCCCTGGAATAATGGTGATGATCACAGATGTCTGGCGGCGCTGGCTGTCCGCATTGGAGAGACAGTACCTGGGCGGTGCTGGCGGTGGAGGAGACGAGGGTGGTGGTGGCGGCGCTGGGCTTGGTGTGCGTCGCCGCCCACAATGTCGCGCAGGGACAGGCCAGCACCCTCATCTCGAACGAGTGAATTCGCCCATCCCAAACCCTAGCTCTTTCCCGCGCACTAAACCTTGTTATTTACTCTAATCTAGTGCCGGGAGAATTTGACGGCTATGATTGGCAATCTAGCATGTGTTCGTAGCGGCTCTGGAAAGGATAGCTACCATCGCAATTCCGGTCTTCAGGCCCAAGGATTCAGCAGCGTCCACGCCACAATCGAGCAAGCCATCGCGAGTAGTGCTCCTCTCTTCCTCGATTCCTCCTTGGATGTGATTCGAATTGTCGACTTGGGATGTTCCCACGGCTCCAACACGATCCAGGCCTTTGACTTCGTGAGAGATAATCCGGCTGCGAGAGCAATCGAAAACCTCTGGAGATCCAGGCCATCTTCTCGGATCTGGCAGTCAATGACTTCAACACTCTCTTCGCTCTAGTCTCACATCCCCAAGGTGAGCCATACTTCTTTAGTGGTGTTCCCGAGTCGTTCTATGGCAGGCTCTTTCCTCGTTCCTCTATCCACTTTGCAATGACGAGCTACGCACTGCATTACCTCTCCAAGGTCAGTCTCGCCCAATCGACCTCTCTAAGCAGGCTCAAACCTCTGCGCATAGATTCCAGAGTCGATCACGGACAAGAATTCGCCAGCTTGGAACAGAGACAGCATGTTTGTCTCCAGATCCTCGCCACTCGTGGCAATCGAAGCCTTTGCCCAGCAAGCCAGCGACGATCTCTCCATCTTCCTCCATAGCCGGGCCCAAGAATTAGTCACCGGAGGCATCCTCCTCTTGATGTTTCCCATAAGACTCTCCCACGAGCTCAACGAGGCCGATTTCCCCTTCCAATCAGTGTGGAAGGATCTCATCCAAGAGGTAAAGATCTCTCTCTCTCTCTCTCTCTCTCTCTCTCTCTCTCTCTCTCTATGTGTGTGTGTGTGTGTGTTTAGTCAACACATATGCTGACCCGGTCAACGGTGAGCAGGGGCTTGTGAGCCAGGAAAGCTTGGATACTTTCAATTTCCCTGCGTATCTTCGCAGTGGGGACGAGGTCAGGTCATCTGGACCAGCAATTCACTGTCATTCACTTGGAAAATCTCAAGTTTCCTTGGCTGGATCCAAAATCTTCCAGCTATGCTGCCACGGCAACCAAGTATTGGAAAGCTCTTCATCCAGAAGCACATTGGCAACCAGGAAGTGGTGGAGCTCATGTATGAGCGAATGCCATCCAAGGTTACGGTGTCGTCTCCTTCTGGAGAGCTGGATATTGTCTTGCTTGTTCTCGTCAAGAAGTAATATTTGGAGGATGACGCTGTCTATTGGGAAGCACTTTCACGATCAATGTCCTTGAGCTTGGCTAGGCCCACTCTCACACTCCACTGGGAGAGCCTGCCAGCAATGTCTTCCACTGCCAGAGCGCGTGGCATGGGAAGCACTGCAGCTGAGCTGCTCCACACTTTCTCTAGCAGCCACGACATTATCACTTGCCTTGACTGGAGCCCCAACGGCAGTTGGATCATCTATGTCTCACAGTCGTCAACGTTTAGAATTTTTGAAGAGATCCTTCTAGACAATAGCATTTGCCAGGCCTAGAAATTGGATCCCTCCAAAATCTCCTTCCCTGACAATCCCAAGTTTCTGGCCACATTTCAAGTTCACAGGGACATGGAGAAGGAAGATGGCACCACCCAAACGAGCCATAGCAACAAACCTCTCAGTGTCCAGCACTTGGGCTGCTCCAAGGCTTTTAACTTCCAATCCACTTCTACACCACTTGCAGATACAAGCTTGATGATGCTTGGTGTTTAGTTTAGTGAGGAAAAACACTAGGTTCTTGGGCATGTTTAATTTTGCTAACTCAAGCTTGTCTTGCATATCTTCTAAGAAATCATGAACCAAAGCACTCACAGGATGCTTAAGTATATAACCAACATATAGCCATGAATAAAGACATGCTAATAGCTAATTATTGAGCACTATTAGCAAAGCTTACAAGTTTACAAGATGTTTTATTTATTTTTATATTTCTCTATTTCTTCTTTGTTTCAGTAGTGACAAATACATAAATGGAAAATAAGAAACAATAAAGAATTTAAAGTTAAATAGAATGAATTTAAAATAAATCAAAGAAAGTCTATAAAAACATTTTATAAAACACTCAAAATGAGGAATTATAAATTCACTCTTCAAGTAAGAAGCTCACAACTACATCACATTAATTTTCAAACTTTAGAGAATATTTTATTACTTTTCTGATTAATACCATTTATTTACAGGTTAAATAACTATATTCTGGGATAAAAAATCTTTAATTTTCCACTTCGTTTTGGTTAGATGTGAGAAAGTTTTAGTCCTCTACTTATATCTGAAAGACCGTTTGGACTTTCATTGTATATTAATCTCTTTGTAATATATTTACTAAAAAGTCGAGATGTTTTTATGATATTTGTTTTTATATAGTTGATGGTACTTATACTCTATTTTATATGCAGTTTGTTAGTGTGAGTTAACAAAATCCTAGCTTCTCTATAAGTGGAATAAGAATCCAAGAACTAGGGTATTAGTAGTAACTTCACTCCACCAAGGCAAGTAGGAACAATCATTGGTCAATTTGTAGGATCAAGTGAGCATTTTGTAATTTGTGCCTTGCCCTCGTCACCAAGGTCAGGCTGTCAAAATCTTGGTGATGTTTAACTTCCTATTAAACTCTGAAAGAAAAAACATTATTACTATGATTTCTTTGATATTATGGTTTTCATTGAGCTCCATATCATATTCATTGTGAGGCCCATCTTCTTGTGGAGAAAAATATTGAGTAGAAAGTGGTGGCCATGGTTGGGTTGTGGAGATTAAAAGGATAGCCACTGCCAGTGTATGATGTGGACCACACAGGCACTAGTTGGGCTCGTGAGCTGGACCCACAGGTGGTCCCATGTCTAGCTCATCCAAATTTTGATAATGTCATCGACTGGAAATTGTCCACCTCGGCCAGAATCGAATAAGGTAAGGAACGCATTTAAATACTACATTGGGGAGTGTTGGGGCAGCAGTCCAGTGTGTAGTGAGTGAGCATTTGAGCAAAGGAGTGATATCTTGTCTTTGTTGGCTAGTTTGCATAATCTAGCCCTTGTTTGCTATAGCCAGAAGGAGCACCTGGCTTGCAAAATCCTCCAGATTCGAGGCAGTTGATCAGCTCCTTGAGTGCTTGCTTGGGGCCTCTCTCTCTGTCCTAACTCATGAGCATATAAAGGGTTCCAAAAAAAAAACGAGAACAATGGGGTCCTATCTTTCTGTCTACAACAACACCACAGACACTTATGTTGTCAAGGTTGGCCCGGATCAGGCAGCAGTGCGCATAGCCACCATCGTGGGTTCAATAGTAAGCCTCATTGGAGGAGCAGGAGCAGCCTTAACCACTCGCCTTGTCGCCAATGGGGTTGTGAGGGTGTTTGGTGTTTCTACTAGGACGATTGCTGCAGCTACTACAGCAGCAGCAAGGATCTCCATTCCAACCACAGTAGTAGGCTCAACTATTAAAATCTCCCTTTTCATAACCAAAAGCCTCAAGGAAAAAGGATATGTGGAGATTCAACCTGGTATAATCCCTCTAACTACATGTATTAAGAGTTATTCTTAAAATTGCAGGTGAGAAGCATGTGTTTGGCCCATATAGTTTGTCCCTGTGGCAGCAGGCAGCTTGCCGGCGGATCCGAGTAAACCCAGACAACAAGGCTGAGGTTCTGACCGACGTAGTTTACATGAGGCCCATTTTCAGCGGTGCAACCAAGGACTCAGTTTTAGAACATAACATTCAGCACTGGATTAACAAATGGGGTCATGAAGAGAGAACTGTTATAACTTTGGACATGGTTAGATTATATAGATCTATGTTCTTTCGTCACTTATTTAGAATGTTGTTGGGTGTGCACAGGGCAACTTCTCCAAATCTAGCAAAGACATTTCCTTTAAGGATGGGAAATTGCACGCTAAATGCCAAACTACAAGACAAGAGTTGCTGCCCTCATCTATTGATCTCAACTATTTTTTTCAGAATATTGACGGTATTGTGCAGCTCACGGCATCACCACCAGGGAACTTCTTGGCAACATGCAGAAATGTACAACTCAAGGGAGGCAACATGCTTGTGGGGATTGCAAAAAAATGCGATCACAGTGAAACGGCATTTGAGCTGGATTTTGACATTGACATAGTGAACAAGGAAGGCAAACTTGGTATCAATACTAAAGTATGAATATGAAGCATCCCAGATAAAAGGTTTTTCCCAGTCCCTGGGTTTTTTAATCCTGATCTAGATTATATGTAATAACATATATGTTGATGACTATTTAGCTATTGTCTAGAAGTAAAGTCCATAGAGTCACAAGTACATAAGGTGCATGGCTTGTAGTTGAGTCGGCAGGGATTCAAATGGAACTCTTCTATGGTTTTGACCTAAAAACCAATGACTATAAGGAAGTTGCCAACAGTTTAAATGTGCAGAAACTTGTACTGTTATCCCCAAAATCAGGATGGTATTCGTAAAATGGTTGTCCATCACCCATGCACACACACAATCTGCATGGCAGATCCCCTTTTGGCCTAGACTGATGCCCTAGTATATTCCACTACATAGGAATATGCCTAAGAATCCAATAGTCATTCTATGATTTATCAATGGTCATCTAATAAAATAGAATGACATACTAAAGCTTAATAGCCATGGGCAATAATGATAAACCACAAGAATATTCTAAGAAAATTCTATGGCCTATGATATGTTAGCCTAAAGTTTACTCTCTATTCATTTCATTAGTATTAGAGTAATATACTTTTTTAGGGAAGGTAGAGGAGTGGGATATAAAACTTGATGAAGAGTATGGCATTAGTGATGGATTCCACCATGGCCACGTATGCCACCAGCGCCTCCACCAGCTTGTTATATGTAATGGAATTGGGCTCGATCCCTGCCGCCTCGAGCCTGCGCATCCATTCCACCGCCCCCGCCGCGTCGCCGCCGCGCGCGCACACCGTGATGATGGCATTGTAGCTCGCCAGCCCCATGGCCACTTCTTGTGATTGCATCTCCTCCACGATCCTGGGAATGGCAGCGGCGGCACCACCGCTGACCTTGCCGTGCGCCGCGATGAGCGTCGTGTAGATCGATTCGATCGGCCTCACGCCGCTCCTCCGCATGCTCTCCAGGACCAGCTCCATGTCCCGGATCGAGACCAATCGCCCCTTTTCGATCGAACTGAGCAGCGATCCAAAGGATCGCGCATCGGGCGCGTGGCCCGCCCGGATCATCCGTGCGAAGAGCTCCAGCGAGTTCTTTTTCCTCTTGGCGGCGCAGAGGAGGAAGGAGAATTGCTCGCGGATGAGCTTGCAGGTGAGATCGTTGCCATGGTCTCGAAGATCTCCAGCGCCGCCCACCACTTGCCGTGCTCACCCAGGGCCTGGATGCTGTGGTTGCACAGCGCGGTGGTGAGCATCCGGCGGCAGCGCATGAAGGCGTAGAGCACACGGGGGAGGACGTGATCGTTGGCGGCGCCGCCACATTGGAGGAGTAAGCGGCGGCACTGGAACTTGGAGATTACGCGTACTGCATCTTGAGGAAGAGCTTCTTGAGAACGTAGCGGTTCTCACCGCCTGCCAATCCGCTGGCCAGTGCCACTAGGCAGAGCTCCAGCACTGCCACGCCCATCTCCTCGATCGAATTCCACGTCTCGGCGAGGTGATCGCCGGGTGGAGGAGGCGCCCACTCTCGATCACTGCCGTCTGGAGGGATCCCTGTGGATTCCACGCCCAGGAATTGCTGGCGCGCGCGCCAGTAGAGCTTGAGCGCGCTCTTGGCATCGCTGCTTCTCTGGATGAGATTTCTGTACGCTGGTAGATCCAATTCCTTCTCTGCTGGATCATCGCGATCCAGATGCCCAAGCTCAAGAACCCTAGGCAGCGAGAATCCCCTGGAATAATGGTGATGATCACAGATGTCTGGCGGCGCTGGCTGTCCGCATTGGAGAGACAGTACCTGGGCGGTGGTGGCGGTGGAGGAGACGAGGGTGGTGGTGGCGGCGCTGGGTTTGGTGTGCGTCGCCGCCCACAATGTCGCGCAGGGGCAGGCCAGCACCCTCATCCCGAACGAGTGAATTCGCCCATCCCAAATCCTAGCCTCTTTCCCGCGCACTAAACCTTGTTATTTACTCTAATCTAGTGCCACGGCTATGATTGGCAATCTAGCATGTGTTCGTAGCGATGGAAGGCGGCTCTGGAAAGGATAGCTACCATCGCAATTCCGGTCTTCAGGCTCAAGGATTCAGCAGCGTCCACGCCGCAATCGAGCAAGCCATCGCGAGTAGTGCTCCTCTCTTCCTCGATTCCTCCTTGGATGTGATTCAAATTGCCGACTTGGGATGTTCCCACGGCTCCAACACGATCCAGGCCTTGGACTTCGTGGCCCGAGAGATAACCCGGCTGCGAGAGCAAGTGGGCGATCGAAAACCTCTGGAGATCCAGGCCATCTTCTCGGATCTGGCAGTCAATGACTTCAACACTCTCTTCGCTCTAGTCCCACATCCCCAAGGTGAGCCATACTTCTTTAGTGGGGTTCCCGGGTCGTTCTATGGCAGGCTCTTTCCTCGTTCCTCTATCCACTTTGCAATGACGAGCTACGCACTGCATTACCTCTCCAAGGTCAGTCTCGCCCAATCGACCTCTCTAAACAGGCTCAAACCTGTGCGCATAGATTCCAGAGTCGATCACGGACAAGAATTCGCCAGCTTGGAACAGAGACAGCATGTTTGTCTCCAGATCCTCGCCACCCGCGGCAATCGAAGCCTTTGCCCAGCAAGCCAGCGACGATCTCTTCGTCTTCCTCCATAGCCGGGCCCAAGAATTAGTCACCGGAGGCATCCTCCTCTTGATGTTTCCCATAAGACTCTCCCACGAGCTCAACGAGGCCGATTTCCCCTTCCAATCAGTGTGGAAGGATCTCATCCAAGAGGTAAAGAGCTCTCTCTCTCTCTCTCTCTCTCTCTCTCTCTCTCTCTCTGTGTGTAGTCAACACATATGCTGACCCGGTCAACGGTGGACAGGGGCTTGTGAGCCAGGAAAGCTTGGATACTTTCAATTTCCCTGCGTATCTTCGCAGTGGGGACGAGGTCAGGTCATCACTGGGATCAGTGGACCAGCAATTCACTGTCATTCACTCGGAAAATCTCAAGTTTCCTTGGCTGGATCCAAAATCTTCAAGCTATGCTGCCACGGCAACCAAGTATTGGAAGGCGGTGTCCAAGCCCTTCATCGAGAAGCACATTGGCAACCAGGAAGTGGTGGAGCTCATGTATGAGCGAATGCCATCCAAGGTCACAGTGTCGTCTCCTTCTGGAGAGCTGGATATCGTCTTGCTTGTTCTCGTCAAGAAGTAATATTTGGAGGATGACCCTGTCTATTGGGAAGCGCTTTCACGATCAATGTGCAGTGCTTCCCATGCCACGCGCTCTGGCAGTGGAAGGCATTGCTGGCAGGCTCTCCCACTGGACTGTGAGAGTAGCCAAGCTCAAGGATGTCTCACAGTCGGCAACATTTGGCATTTTTAAGAGACCCTTCTAGAAAACAGCATTTGCCAGGCCTAGGAATTGGATCCCTCCAAAATCTCCTTCGATGACAATCCCAAGTTTCTGGCCAAGACAGGGCATTTCAAGTTCACAGGGACATCGAGAACAAAGATGGCACCACCCGAACAAGCTATAGCAACACTGTGGGCTGCTCCAAGGCTTTTAACTTCCAATCCAGTAGTGGTTACTTCTATACCACATGCAGATACAAGCTTGATGATGCCTGGTGTTTAGTTCGGTGAGGAAAAATACTAGGTTCTTGGGCATGTTTAATTTTACTCAAGCTTGTTTTACATATCTTTTAAGAAATCATAAGCATGAGGCACTTGAACCGAAGCCAAACTCAAACTAGACTTATAACCATATATACCCATGCTAATTATTAAGCACTACTATGAATAAATTAGAGCAAAGCTAAATATTTCTCCTATACTCCTCATCAAACTAAATAACTAATTTACAAATAATTAAGCAAGTTCAAAAGTTTTAATTGTCATCTTCACTATAAAAAAGTAAACCATTTTCATCAAACAATCCCATTTCCTTGAAAGGTCTTGAGAAAATTAGTGATAAAATCTATTAAGATATTATCCCACTTATTCTCAAGTACACGTAAAGAATGAGGCTAACAAGCTTTTAATGACTGCTTGGTAAGTCAAATAACCATGTATATACTACTTTATTTTAGGCTAAAAGAAATGCCTCTTCACAGTTCTTAGTATCCTTAAATGTTTAACATTTAACACATCATGACATTCAACCAAAATTCATTTGATAAGTTTGTCAACACATAAAACCAACACATTTCTTTTCTTCACCAAGATTTTATTTTATATCTCAAATGATGCAAATTTTAATCTATAGAGGCATCCTTCGATAAAACTTTTATGCAAATATCAATAATAAATAAAGGAGTCAAAGTCATTCAACTCCTTAAGCTTATCTAATAGATCATTGGATAACTTCAAATAAGATAAAATTTATTATCCTAAATAATGCATTAGCCACTTTATTGTCACCTCTATATTTGTACTGGATATTAATAAATATCTTTTGTAAGAACTCTTGCTAACAAGTAAAGTAGCCTTAAGAATCTTTTTGACAATTAAAATACTAAAGAGATTGATAGTTTGAATCTATATAGAAGTTTAGTCCATATAGATATTATCACTATTCCTTCACAATAGTAATCATAGCATATAATTCTTTGTCTTGAGTGGGCCAATTTCATTGTGTGGAATCAAAATTATGGCTCATACATGCAAAAAGATGCCCAACTTAGCCACAATAATAAAGTCACTTCACTCACATTTGTTTTAACCACAAGAGGCTTCTCAAGATCAAAAATCTTCAATACATAAGCAAAGACATAATGCTACTTTAACCATTAAAATACCATTTGACACCTCATTCCAACCATGAATATTAATATATTTTGATGCTGATTAAAGAAGTAACTATCTCTGAGAAGTTGTTCAAAAATCATTAAAAAACTCCAACCATACCAAGGAAATTATGGAGATTATGCACTATCAAAAATATAAGCCAATCAATCATGACTTAGATCTTTCAAACTTGGTGAGCATGCAGAGATGAAGCTCCAGGAAATCATGAAGATCAGCCACCACACGGTCATGTCCCTTGAGCCCAGCAAAGCACAAGCTCTTGCTTGAGTACTTGTGGCAGAGCGGGATCACCATCTTTGCCTAAGGCCCTCGCTGCAGTTAGCCCCTTCTTGCATCAATGACTGGACGTGCGGCAGTGCCGATGTGAAGAAGGCGCTGTCATCCACGCCCAAGAAGCTGGTGTTCTTCCTCACCAAGCTAAACACCAGGCACAGCCTTGTCAAGATTGTGCTTGCAGTCGCAGAAGAAGGTGGTGTAGAAGTAGCCGCTACTGGATTGGAAGTCGAAAGCCTTGGAGCAGCGCAAGTGCTACCGCCATGGCCCCTCTGGGTGGGGAGCTGGATGACCATGGTCGCAAACGACCCACTTTCCTTCTCCGCGTCGCTGTGAAGCTTGGAATGCCCACCTTGCTCGTATAGCACCATCTCGTAGAGGGGCACGCCCGATGCGCGTCCATTCCCATGCTTGAGAGCGCGGCGGCAGCTACGGTCCTGGCGAGGAACTCGGGACAGTCGGGGAAGGAAATGTGGGATGGAAGGAGCGTATGCTCTCCAGCGCCAATACCGCCCTGAGCTTGGCAAGATTCTCGCGTGAGAGTGGTGGATGGCGCCACCTGCGATGCCTTCCACTGCCAGAGCGCGCGGCATGGGATGGCGCCCCACATCGATCTCCCCTCCAGCGGCGAAAGGGCTCTCCCACTGGAGAAGCTCTTTCTTTATTGCCAACACTGGAGTTCTTCATCTCCCTTACATCTCTGGCGGGGACTTCCTTCGTTCCAGAAGCACATAGCAATTGCGGAGGCAGCATTCTCGGGATCCATCTCCACCACTCTATCCGCCGCCCGCCTCCCCACCGCCTCCTCCCCGACCCGCCCACACGCCGCCAGCAAGCTCATCCACGCCACCACCCCGGCCCCAAACCTCTCCAGCACCGCGCACGCCTCCGCCACCTCGCCCGCCCGCCCCAGCGCGTCCGCCACGCACACCAGGTGCTCCGCCGCCACCGCCACCCCGTACTCGCGCGCCGCCACGTCCAGCTCCTCCGCCGCGGCGCCGCCCATCCCGGCGTGGCTGCAAGCGCTCAACACGCTCATAAGCGCCACGCCGTCGGGTGCCACGCCCTCGAGCTTCATGTCGCGGGAGAGCTCCAGGCACTCGAGCGCCAGGCCGCTGTGAGCGTGCGCCGAGAGGAGCCCCGTCCACGAGAGCCTGTTCCTCGTCGCCACCATGCGATCAAACACCGCCTTGGATCGTCCCGGCTGCCCGGCCTTGCCGTAGAGATTGATGAGCGCGTTCCCGACGGCCACGCTCTTGTCGGCCACCACCACATCGGCTTCCATCTCGGTTCCCAGAAAGCCGTTACTTTGTGACACCTCGCATTCCACCTCGAGCTCGAGCTCGCGGATGATCGCGTGAGCGCTCTCGGCCGCCACGGACGCGACGATGGAGCACGCGTCGATCACGCTCACCAGCGCCACCGCGTCGATCCTCAGCCCCTCGAGATCCATCGCCTTGAACAGCTCCACAGCTCGGACTGCCTGCCCGTTGAGCGAGCACCCCGAGACCATCGCGCTCCACGCGATCTCGTCCAGCTGGGGGCTCTTGGCAAACACCTCGTCCGCGTCTTCCATCTCTCCGGCCCGGGCCGCCGCGACCACCATCGCCGTCCACGGCACCACCGAGCGCTCCGGCATGGAGTCGAAGAGCTGCTTGGCCTCGTCCAGAGCTTGGCTGTGCGAGAGCACCACTGTCCAGGAAACCACGTCCCGCTCCGGCATCTTGACAAACACCAGCTTGGCGGCCTGGAAGTTCCCGTTATCCCCGAGTGCCTGGATCAAGTTGTTCCAGGAAACGACGGTTCTCTCCGGGCAGCGATCAAAAACCGATTTTCCAGCGGCCACGTCCCCCCTACGAGAGTAGACACCGAGCATCGCGTTCCAGCAGATGGAGTCGGGGTACCGGGTGCTCTCAAACACCCTTTTTGCAGCGTCTAGCGAGTCCGGGTCGCCTCTTTGAGCGTAGGCCGTCAGCAGCTCCGTGGAGGAGAGAACGCTGTGCTGCGGCATTCTCTGGAAGAATCTCTCCGCCTCTTCGACATACCCTCCACGAGCATAAGCTTGGATGATTGCATTCCACGAAGCAGCGTTACGTTCCGGCATCTCCAAGAACAAGGAACGAGCTCCCGGAACCGAGGACTGCTTGGCAAGCCCGACCATCAGTGCTGTCCAGGTGACCACACTGTGCTCGGGCATTCTCTCCAATATCCTACGCGCCTCTTCCATATGCCCGTTTTGGGCATACGCGGCTACCATCGAGTTCCCGCTCATGACGTTTCGCTCGGGCATCCGGTCGAAGAGAGATCTTGACTCTTCGAGCTGGTTTTGTTGGTTGTACGCTGCCGCTACCAAGTTCCAAGAGACGAGATTCGTCGCGGGCATTCGGTGGAAGAGCTCGTTGGCTTCTTGAAGATGGCTGCTCTTGGTACCAGCTCTGATCATCATGTTCCAGGAGACGACGTTCCTCTGGGTGATCTGATGGAAGACTGCCCACGCATCTGGGAAGGCACCGCAATCCCCATACATCTGGATCAGTCCATTCGCATGCTCCGTGTCTGTATCTCGAGAGTTCTTGACAAGTTCCCAGTGGACTTTCTTGCAGTCCAGAAGAGTTGTCGTCCCTTGTTTCCATTGCCGAGAAGCGAAAGCTGACGAGAAGAAACACCTCCTGTGCCTGGTCGAGATCCTTTTAGCCCGAGGAAACCATATCATACTTTGACTGCGATAGGACACAGCCGTCGCAGAGCTTTCTCGGCCAGTGAGCTCCTTGTCCCCGGCCTCTGGCAAACCCCAAGAAAAGTCTTCCACACGTCGTAGTCCGGCTCGAAAGGCATGGAGTCGAGTAGCTCTTCCGCCTGCTTGGGCTTGAGAAGCTGCATCACACAGAGGTTATCTTCCAGGACCGGATACACCTCAAAGTCTGCCCAGCATCGTCCAAGTTGGTGCACGACTCCATGACCGTGAGAACGAGTTCTTGTCGGGCTTGACATATCTGTGGATCATTCCCTTGAAGATCTTGTACGTGTCCCCTGACTGCTATGGAATGTCGCCGCTTCTTCATCCGTGCAAGAAGCCACACTCGGGTTCTTCATCCTGTGCAACGGTCGCAAGATCCCCACTCGCTGCAAATGCTGCGATAATAGCTCCCCACGCTCTCTCGTGCCCAGCGAAGCTCGAAGATCGTGAAAACCCTCTGCGCCATCCCGACCCCCACGTACCCTCTATCATCGTTACCCAGAGGTCCACTGCCGGATCCTTCGCCAGCTTGAACAGCTCCTTGGCCTCGTCCATCTGGGTATACGCCGAGAGCATGATGTTCCAAGTTTTCACGTCCCTCTTCGCACCACCATCGAAGAACTCCCTGGCCTCCTCAATCTCTCCGTTCAGGTATCCAGCACATCATGCTGTTATTAGTCCGCAGAGTGTCATACGCGTAGCGCGCTTCCTCGGTGCTGTTGCAAACGCCGAAGGGCTTGATCAGCAGATCGCTACGGCCTAAGGTAGTGCTTCGATCACACTGTCTGCCAGGTCCATGATGAATGTGGGAACGCTGGAACTCGACCCCAGTGAAGTATTCCCGACTCCAGCGCAAGATCTTTGTATTCCATGTCGATGTCTCGATGTGCTCGCTGACAAAACGGCATGCATTAAAGCTGGTCTTTTGTGTTCACAAAATATTTATACAAAACTAAGCTCTTAATACCGTTCTGACCAAGGCTTTATCTGTTATATGAAAACCACAACATGATAAACAAACAAAAACATCAAGTGAGATAAATAACCAATATGCCAACGAGTGAACGTTGTTGACACCCCTGCTCCGTAACTCAGGCATGATCAGGTCGACGCATTCTTCCATCTCCTCTTATGGATTCCCGGTTTTTCCTACACACGCTACCGGAACTCCATGAGCACTAAAAAAGATATGGACCCGCAAGCAGAAACGTAAAACTTTGAGAGCGCAAGCAAAGATCTCCCTTACGTCCTCAGAATTCGAAAACTTGGAAAACTCCTTTTCTATGAGAGACGCCATAGCTTTTACGCCTTCCCTCTGGTACCACAAAGGAATAACAGTGTGCTGCATGTTACTCAATCGAGTTAAGCCAAGATGCTTTCTAGAAGGCGCAAACTCGAACTGCTTGGCAGAACGAGAAGCCTCTACCTGAAATTCTTCTTATATATCTCGTTTAAATTGTAGCTTCTGCACATAAGCTACCATTTAAATGAGATATATAAGAAGCTGTTCAATGGCTTCTTCTGTGAAAGGATGCCAGTATCGCTTCCCGACATATACCGTTGCAAGTAAATGCTTGGTCTCCAAGGATTTTTGACAGCCCTGGCCCGTGGGAAACTACATGTTGTAGCTAAAAGGAATGCGTGAATCAAGCCTTGCCTGTTCTTCAGTTATTCTTCTCAACGGAGAACCTCCACCGATAGACGCATATCCTTCGGCACTCTTGGGAGCCCGAGCTGCCGAAATAAACTCCAAGGTTTCTGGAGGAACCGAAACAGTCGAGGCAACCGGATGATGTCCTGAAATACTAAATGTCGTTAGAAAGTATGCGAACATATAATCAAGAAAACACAAAGGGAAGTAAAACAAATGAAAGATGTTGATCGGAGAACAGATTAAAAAGAAAGGGTTGCACCTCTTAGATGGAGTCGGATCCTCCGCCGAGTTTCGTCCACCGGACAGCAGCCAGCCGAGAAGACGTCCTCTGCGGCTTGGCCTGGGCGTAATGAGGTTTGTGGAGATCGTATTTGGCTGTGGAATCACATCAAACACGGACTTGGCTTCTGACACATGCCCACTCATCAAAGGTCCCACATTCACAGTTGCCTTCGTCAAAAACTTCCGTGCGCTCTTTTGCGAAGCGTGAGACAAAGATTCGTACAGCACACTTAGATCCACGAAAACAAAATTCATCAATACAATTGTGGCAACGACACATCCAAAGAAGAAGAAACTTTGTCATGCCGCCGATGAAGGATTCCGCAGCGTCAGGCTGTACAAGAACATTGCCGCTGAGCTTGCAACGCATCAAAAAGAATATCCTGTGAATTCATTTAACCACAAACGTCTACTTCTTCTTTCCTTAAAGACCCGGACCATATGTGAAACTATGGTCATGGCCCGCGTCTTCCAGTAGTCGCGGCAGCCAGTAAAAGCACCAGGTCATGGTGGAGAAGATCAACGAAGTGCCATGCAAGGACTCGTCACTCGTGCAATCAACCTTGGAGGCACTATTTATCCGATGAGGAAGCTGGGGCACGATACAAGATATGGCTGCAGAGTGTTCCAGACTGCCTCCGGAATCAGTTTTTTATGTTGAGTCCATGCAGCTGCCCTTTAAGAACCCTTTCAACATTATAATGTCACAGAAAACGAAATAAAATAACACACGTCTATCAAAATCTACGCGGTTCTGGGTTCGTTGCAACATTGGCAATGTACCCAGGCCATACTTCCTATTCTAAGATATTTTGGTAAATCAATGATTCGCCATAGATGGAAAACGTGATTGGTATGCCTGTCCATGAAAGTAAATCTCATGGATTTTCAGCGAAGTACTTTCAGGATGTACAGTGGCAGAAAGACTATGACAAATGGCGAAAATTTACTTTTCAAAGCAAATGAACACAGAAGCATTGCGCTAGCAAACATTGACACTTAAAGAAGCTAATACTAAGCTGCGTGCATCGCCTTGCCCAAAATATCTCTAAGAATTTGACGCATGCCTAAGATAGCAAGCATTCTGTATTTCCATTTTGGATCAGGCAGGCTACAGCGCTGGGATGAAAGCAAAAGCAAAGAAACCGGCAAACATTTCATCAAACATGCGAACCTTGTTGAATCTGCCACTCGAAGGATCCCAATAGCTCCCTGCCGCAGAGAAGCAGTAGCCAGTGAGCAACACGCACCGGATGATCTCCCATGGAGGAGTGGTAGTTTTGATTGCTTCTAAATCATCGGGTTGGTCGGGCTTGAAAGTGAGTCTTACCATTAGAGGGTACTTGTCCACATAGTTGCAGCTAGACGTGCGAACGTTCCAACGACATTTAAACGCCGTTTAAAACTTTTTTTTCAGGACAATCCAACGTTTACATGTTAAAGCCTAAAATGATTAAGAAAACACTAATATTTACTAAAGACACTTTAATCTGTAATATTAACCAAATTTCCATCTGAGCGTTTTGCTGCTCTGCTTGTCCCAGCACTGGACCAGTTCTCCGTGCTTGCCACCATAGATTCTGCTGGCCCCCCTGAACCCTGTGCGGCTTGCTGCAGCAGATGCCCATCATCGGCATCTGCTGGGTCTGCTAGCTCAGAATTGGAAAAACTGTTGCGAGCTTTTTTAAGAACCTCATAAGGGATCTCCCTCATTGCCTTGCACGTTTTCACACCTCTTGCCTGAACTCCAGCGAGATGTGCTCGCCCTCGGTCCACTCCCCCAATGTGAATCTCATGACAATACTTACATGTCTAGTGCCACTCTGCTCGTATCACATGCTTCCAGCTCCAGCATTTGTGGCGTCCTCCAATTCCTGTCATGACCACAAGAACCCTGAAGAAACCCTAAAGAAACTTTTGTCTCTTTTCGCAAATAGTGCAAACGCGTTGGGAGTTTAGAACGGCATTTTTGAACGCATTTAAAATGTTACGTTTTTTAAGTTTCACATGTCAACTATGCTTGTCCAGCAGCTCCATCAACAGATCCTCCCGAGGTCCCTCTAATCGTAAAAGCACTCTAGGCAGCCCATCCAGAAGTGCCCGGGCTCCTCCCTCTTCTCCTTCTTCTTCAATCGCTGGCACTAAAGGCTTTTTAGGACTAGATGAAACTTTCTCCAAAAGGGGGCCCTCGCAGCCGTCATAGCTCTCTTGCCCCAGCAAAGAGGGTGGTGGGAGCCGTAGTCCTTGAGCCTCCTGTGTGCCTCAGCGCAGCTCAATATGGTGGACACAAGGCAATGCTCAAACGAGTGCTTGGAGAGCTTGGTGACAAGATTGCTCCAATCACTGCTCGAGATTTGCGTCTTACCTTGACCGGGATGAGGAGGAGGAAACATGGGTGACACCTTGGCTTTGAGCCACTGACCTCGTCCAGCAGCTGGCAGCAGCATCCCCACCGAACAAGAGGCTCCAAGACAATATCGGGCTCCGGCTTGAGTGTCCCAAACCTTTTGTCTTGTCCTAAGATGAGCTCAATGAGAACAGAATCTTTGTGTGGAACAAAAGGGTAAAATCTCATTTGATCAGTACGGTGAAAGCATGGCCTATCGATCCTTTAGTGTTTCCAAATTTGAAGCTAGAGGTGTCAGAAAAGTTACCATAGGGATAACTGGCTTGTGGTGGCCAAGCATTCATAGTGACGTTTTTTGATCTTTCAATGTCAACTCTTCTTATCATTGTGAAGTAGAATTCACCAAGTGTTAGATTGTTCACCCATTAATAGGGAACATGAGCTGCATTTAGACTGTCGTGAGCTACTGATGAGCTGTGCCACAATAGTAATTTAACTTAGTATGAGAGGAACTGTTGATTTGCACAATTGGTAATTGTGCTTGGTTGAAAAGCCGGCGTGAAGCTATTATACATGGGATTATGACTCAATGCCTCTAAGTCAGAATCCATGCTAGATGCAATGCTCTCTACCTCCTCAGCTGTTACCTAATTAAGGTTAGGGGGGTCCTGTGCTCCCCTGAGAACACATGACACAAGCACCGTCCCCCGGGCTCCCCCGAGAACATATGACATGAGCACTGTCCCCCGGGGCCAATGCTGCCCCAGAGGTGCAGCTTGGAAATCCAATTTCAAACGATCAAGGAGATAAATCTTTTGCAAACAACTTAAATAGGGGACGGGATATTGTGAGTGGTAGAGTAGCTTTGCTGTTACGATCCATTGAGGTTCCCACAAACCTTTTGTCTTAAACCCTAAATTTGGTGAAACAATATTTAGGTTAAGGTTTAATGGCATAGAAAACTTGGCATTTAGATACTGGAAGTGCAATTGATGTGACATCTTAGAGATTTGTGTTAGCAAAACCTTGAAATGGAAAACCCTGATGGGGTTTTGTTAAATTTTTGAGTTTGTATTTTGAGGTTGATAGTTTAGAGCTCTAAAGTTTCTAACTTTGGATTCTCTATTTTAGTATCACAAATCCTTCTCACCTTTATTGCATTTTTTGGCCAAGATTTTCAGCATTTCCTCTAAACCAAAGGACTTTGCCTTTAATCTGGAATTTATTACTTCTTTCTGTGTTTCTTTTGCTTTGTGACAAGCTTAGATAGGTTCAAGAGTCTGTAGTGTTTTT